TTTTTTTTTTTCTAAGGAAACTCTTCGTAAATAGCACACTTTATAGTACATATTGTGTGCTTAGATTTATCCACCAGCCACCCAGGGACACGTGGCAAACAGATTTAGGTGAGGTCCGACCAGTGCGGCTTGAGGTCCTACTGCTATTTTCAGTTACCCTCTCCCCACAACATCAAGTCCAGAGTTTTTCACCCAACTGTCAACACCACTCACCCCCTCCCACGATTCCTCCGATGGGACACACCCTGAGCAGGCAGTGGTACTCTGAACCACAGAGACCAGGCCAGTCTGTAAACCCCAGCTGAGGTCTCAACTGCGCTCAGAATATCTTAACATTATGGTTGTCCAAAAAAATTTCAAAAAGCTTGAGGTCAAAGTTGCATTTTCTTTTAATCATACTATTACTGATGTGATTATTGTTTACCCATATAGAGGAAACGCTGTGTGGATAGTGAAACTAATTAGAATTTCACTCCAAAAAAAGCTTAATTTCTCTTTTACAGTGTCAAAAAACAGCCTTAAAACACTGTGTTTTTAAAAATGTTTTATCTTATTACTCATGTGTTGCTGTTACTCTGGTTTTCTGATGGACTTTGGATCTTACATCAACACAGTCGAAGCCGAGCTATAATTCACCGTGTGGGTACAGCTCGAGGTATGATAGTGCTAAAGAGGCAAAAAAATGTCCACTTGTTTTAGCAGAAAGAAAATATTTTTTTGCCTCTAAAACCTAACTAAACTGGGTTCATTGGAGTTCAAACTTTGATCCAGGCCTTTTCCGTCTAAACTCCATTGGCTTGATCACAAATGCAGCACAGCATCCTCTCATCTCTAACCAAACTCAAACTCCAGGCACTGGACTGAAGGCTTATTCTAGTCAAAGGCAGATTTATGACTACCAGAATCACTCAGTCATGTCTACAGCCAGCTTTTGATTTTTCTAAACTGCTAAAGCTTTCAGCCAACACTTCTCCTCTTTTGTCTGCTTCTGTGATTTAAAGGATCCCCGTGGAGTCTTTGACCTCCAGCAGTGCTTTGTTGCAGTTTTAATGCCTGTGGATCACCATCTTGTTTGCTTCACACGAGCATATGCTTCAATATAATTAACTTATTTGCTAATCTCCAGGCCTCCAAACAGGCCCATATGTGCAGCAACATGCAGAGTATAGCCAAGACAGAATAAGCATGAAAATTAAACAAATACATTAATTAATCCCATTTGTTAGACTTTATCCCTGAAGCAAACACATAAAACGGCATCTTTGGAATACTTGGGTTAAAGATGTGTTCAAACTTATGTAGCAAGTGACATTTTAAGCAGCACAACACTCGCTAGTCTTTTGCCACTGATAACTTTATCCTTCTGGTAAGTGCTTTAGTACTACATCATACAGCCAAGCCACTCATGTTTAGATCTTTTAAAGCCCCTGTTATTCACATTTTGATTTCATCTCAGTGTAGATACAACAAGGTTTTTCCATGTCTATTTCAATCTGTCCAGCCTGTGGCTCTGGTAGACAGCGAGATGTCAATTAGCTATCAAGGGCAACAAGTTTACATCTCCTCTGTGCTTTGTTTATCACACAGGTCACACTGTGGGAAAAAGAGGTCACTGTCTGAGACTGAAAACCTCAGACCCCAGTTTAGTTCCACCTCTTAAAGCTCCACTGAGAAGTCACAATCCAAAGTCACTGGAAGAAATAAGAATATACCTCTCTTCTTTTTCAATCTGTCCTCCTCCAGTGAGCTAAAGTTATTTACAGAGCAGCAACGCCTGGCCTTCTGGCCGGACAGCAGGGCAAAGCCGAAAAAAGCAGAGTGAGCCGGGATGGGAGTTGGAAGTGACATGTGCATAAAAAGAAATGGGACAAGAGACCAAGACAGATGGAGAGAAAAGGAAAGAAGAAGCCAGCTCTTGGCAAAGTTCTTTCTCTTGAGCAGAGAATCGAGGACAGCTGCCCAGGAATGCAGCTGGAATCCAAAGCCTCTGCTTAGTCCATCGGTGTCCCACAGAGCTAAACGCTACTTATACGTCCCTCCCCTGATCCCCAGTGAACAAACTTCTTCACCTCACTTTCGTTTTTTGACTCTGTGTGGGTCTCTGTGTGTCTTAGGTTATGAGGAGGTTGCCAGGATTCCCAAAGGATCAGTGTTCATCCACATACAAGAGCTCAACATCTCCCTCAACTACCTTGGTGAGACTGATTAGAAATAGTTTGTGTGGGCTAGAAAGACACAAAGTTAACTGGCACCGTGTGTGTTTCTTATCCTCGTGTCCTCCTCCTCTGTTTATCAGTGCTGAAAAGTAAAAGTGACCAGTATTTCATCAACGGGAAACTGAGCATCGACACGCCTCGCAGGTTCCACATCGCCGGCACCACTTTCCACTACAGACGCCCCACTGACGGCCCCGAAACCCTCGAAGCTCTGGGGCCCACAAATATCACCCTTGTCGTCATGGTAAGGCCAGAAGCACAAACCAAGTTCCCACCAGAGGAGCTCCAACTATGAGGCAGAAATGTTGTATCAAAAGTTTGGATTTGGATGTGTTTGTAGGTGCTGGTGAGGGAAGAGAACCCGGGGATCCACTACCGCTTTAATCCGCCCCTCAACAGGGATCCCCTCAGCAGCTTTGGCTGGCACTACACCTCCTGGTCACGCTGCTCAGCTCTGTGTGCTGGAGGTAGTTAAAACAACACGATCTATCTGTTTTGATGCTCCTCCATTACCAGGTGGGCGTTATAAACAGTTACATCTGCTAAAGAATAATACGAGATGAAGAACTAGAACATCAGAGAACTAGCGGTAGTGTAGTTCAATGAGAAATTTACTGCTTTGGAAATGTCTTTTCCCTTGGATGGAGTGAGGCCCTTAGCCTGGGATGTCCCAGATGAGAGCTGTTCTCATTTTTAAAAAAATCATATCTCGATACCAGTCATTTGAAAAGAAGAGTGGTTTGGTCGTGTGTCTTTCGGTTTAAGCTTTCTTATTTATTTATTTTGCAATAGATAGACACACTGACACGTACTTTGGCCCATGAAAATGCAGTGTAAATCTGTCGCTCGTAGCAGGTGGCAATTTTGGGAGTCCGTGTCAAAGCCAAAGCCATTTTTTCAGTTCTCAGAGACTTTCGATATATCTCAAACAACCAATCTTGCTTTTCCTCTTTGGCCTTTGTAAGTTAATGATCCATGTAGCCTTACCTGATAAAAGCTTGTTTCCCTTCTGATAGATTGTTGCTCTTTACATCTTTCCCTTTCCCTTGGGAGAGAATGAAAGTAAACATTCAGTGGCAATTCGTGTTGACTTAGCTTTGGTTTTTTAACAGGCTTTGTGTGGAAAATAGACTATGTGATTTTTTTTTTCTTTCCTTATTTTGTTTCTAAGGAAATTCTTATCTTACCATAAATGTTTCACTGCCACTCTTGTGAACTAGTAAGAAACGTTATGGTCAAAGTCAATGGCACTGGGATATTTTCATAGTTAAATTGTGCATTGCCCACAAAGCAGCTCTATATCTGACCATCTGGGTCCAACATGGGGCAGGGTTTCAATCAATACAAATTGTTCAAGTGAAGTTTAGGTCTATGTAAGCTGCAGTTTGACCACAGAACTAAGAGCTATGCTATTCTGCTGGGATCTTTTCAGGGAGAGCCTTGCTGCACTGAACACTTCTGATTGGTGGAGTTTTTCCATAGTTTTAATATCAGCATTACCAGACTAAATTATATTACATTAAAGTTCACAACAGCACAAAAATTTAGTGTACCTTCTTATAAATTTTTAAGTTTGCAGTGTGCATTTAAACTGGCTTCATTTGGTTTAGCTGCCCTGTACATAAGGCTTAAATAGAAGTGCAGACATGGGGATGAAATTATCTTTCATCTTCCTGAAAAATCTTGGATCTGGTAAGGTTGGGATCACTGAAAACGGGAGCTGTTGGACAAGCCAGTTAAAATAAGGGGACGGATATTATTTCTCCTTAAATCTTGTATGTTTGTCTCGTGTTTGTCTCGTGTTTATTCATGTGCGGTCAGGTGTGCAGACCCAGCAGGTGGTGTGCAAGCGGCAGACGGATAACTCAGTTGTCTACAATAACTTCTGTGACAAAAAGAACAGGCCGAAAGACAAGATGAGAGCCTGCAACACTGAGCCGTGCTCCCCCACGTGAGTGAACCCAGACCCTCTTTTACCATTTTATCTCGTCTTAAACCTTTTGTCTATACTCTTTATCCTCATGATATAATCAGTTTTTGTTCAGATGTTGATGTTAGATGTTGATCTTCTATGCACATGCTTTAACATCACTACATGTATGTGTATATATATATAGAATGTACATAAATTCACATACATGTGTATATATACATATAGAAATCATCCTTTTCTCTGCAGTCTATGTGCAACTTTTGTGGATAATTCATGTTTTGTACTTTTTTTTTTTTTACTGAGCGTCATACAATGCAGATGCGGGTATTGAAATCATAAACAGGCTTTTCCCTGTTTCCAGATGGTGGATGGGAGAGTGGTCGGAGTGCAGCCGCAGCTGTAACGGCGGCCTGCGCACTCGGGAGGTGTTATGCAAAAGGAGGATCTCTGTGACAGAAGAGAAAGTCCTGGATGACTCGGCCTGCACCCCCCCTCGCCCTTCGCTCACTGAGCCCTGCAACAACCACAGCTGCCCCCCCGAATGGCTGGCTCTGGATTGGTCCGAGGTAGACCGGAGTTTGTCATTATGCATGTGTTTTGCATTGTCTTCTGCCGTGTTGTTAGTCAACTCATTACTGATTTTGAACCAATACTTTGATTTTGTACAAAATTCCAATCAGGTGAAGCAATAGTTTCTTTTCCAGCTGAACCCAAAAAACCCAAACATCTGCCAGCAGAAAGTGAGAGTACCTTAACCATGAAACACACAGCAGAGGAATGGAGCAGACGAGTACACTGAGCATGTTGTTTTACTCATGAACACATATTGTTACAATTGTCATGTGGGAATTCCTTACCCATTAAAAGTTGACCTCTCATTTGAACAGTCAGGGGAAAAATGTAATTTGCATTGTTTCTAAACTAAAACAGTTTGACAAGTCCTTCTCCTCGTTTTCTACTTTTTTCCCCCGGAGTTAAACTTTGTTCTCACAGTGCTGGATTCTTTGTAGAATTATGTCCAGTTGATTTACAGGAACTCAGCTGGCTCTTGACTTGTCTCCTTTTCAGCTGCTGCCCTCTGCTGAGTGGATTAAGAGGATTTCTTTTTCCATGCTTGTGACCGCAGTGACCCCCTCCTGCACCCTCCCATGTACTACCTTTTCGCCTGATGTTTTCCTGTGTTTTTTCCTTTCCTCTTTCTGCCTGCAGTGTACACCCAGCTGTGGTCCCGGCTACAGGCATCGTGTGGTATTGTGTAAAAGTGGAGAGAGCAGTGATACTTTGCCCGATTCAAAATGCCCAAAACATGGCCGACCCACCTCCAGGGTGCGTTGTAATCTGCAACGCTGCCCTCCCCCTCAGTGGGTGATGGGTCCATGGGGAGAGGTAAAATGCCGGACTCTTATTATTCTGTACTATAAATGAATGCACTGAATTATTTCAAATATATTTATTAGTATTTTCAGATTTATATTGATCTGGCGATGTAACTGTTGGTTCAGAAATGTTACATACTGTAGAAATACTTCCTTTTTATTTTCCTTCCAGGGAGCCAGATTTGAACTCTTGTGTCTTTGATATTTCATCAGAAAAAGTTTTCTGATACTCTTTCAAAGCTTTTATTTGAACATCACTACAGTCCTTATAAAGGACCATTTTCAGATGACTGTGTTTTTGTTCATTAAGCTAATTAACACTAATTTATGGATTATTACTATGATATATATAACCATATATTACTGTATCTGTGTTTATTATGTATACATTTGTGTAGCATTGCAAACTCGCCCTGCGATAGACATAAAATTAGTTGTAGATTTGACAAGATCAATCACAAAGAGTAATTACCTAAAATCCCGAGATACCATGGCAGGGAGTATGGTTTTAAGGCTCTTAAAAATGGGACATAAGAAGGATTTTGATAGTTTAACAAATCCAGAAAATATCTGTTACAAGACCACAGAGATGCACGTAGACATTCATTTGATACACCTACTGTTCACTGAGGCCTCAGCAGAAATGATCTCCATTACCAAAAAAAATATTCTAAGTTAGAGAAATGGGGAGAAAAGCCTGAGGTCTGCCAGATGACACAAGAGGCGGGCTGAAAATCACAGTTAACAGGTCTGATGGAGGAATGGATCCTCTCCAGAGCCCAGACCTCAATATTATTGAAGCAGTGTTGGATTATTCTGACGGAGAATGTAGTTAAAGGCAGCCAACATCCAAATAGGAACTTTGGGATGTCCTTCAACAGGCCTGGAGAACTGTTCCTGAACACTATTTAAAGAATTTATAAATAAGTTTCTCTAAATGGGTTCATGTTGGGTTGAAGAGTTGTGGTGGTCTTACCAAATGTTGACTTTAAAGTCAGTCATTATTGAACCCGTTGTGTGTTTGCCCTCTTTATTGTCTTTACTTTTGTGATCGCATATAAAGAAGTGAATGGCTCAGGATCTTTGCTCAGTCGTGTATACAATGAGAAAAGCTTCACAGGTGAATAATCTGAGGCTTTTCTCTATTGCTTTATGTAGTTTGCTCAAAGGAATTCAGGGCAGTTACAGAAAATGTCTGGCTTTCCATTAACTTCGCAGACTTCAGGAAATTGCAGTTTTAAGCCAAGAGACAATCACATAACACATTTCTACACTTTGGTTTTGGAGTAAATTGAAACAACATGACTATAAAGTGTTACCAGGTGAACTTTAGAGGTGCTACTGTGAATATTTCTAACATTTGGAATGAGATGTATCATTTCTTGGCAAGTGTGCTAACTGGCATCACTATCGAATGAAACTGAGTGATATTACGATGATATCAATCCTCTTAATCTTGTCATAAATGAAGGGGAAAAAGAGCGTTTCCCAGAATCCAGAATTGCCTTCTCTTTCTGATCATTATATTGTTGTCATTGTGAAATGTGTTTCTTGTGGTTCAGTGTTCTGCCAAGTGTGGTCTGGGTCAGGAGATGCGTTCAGTGCAGTGTCTGACGCACACCGGCCAGCCATCCAATGAGTGTCTGGAACATCAGCGGCCTGCAGCCATGCAGCAGTGCAAGAGCAAATGTGACCTCAGTCTGCCCATCAGTACAGACAACCCTGAAGGTCAGAGGGCAAATTTCACTCCTGGTAATCTTCACTATCTTGCAGTTTCACACAATTCACGCACACACACAGTTGCATTTTCAGTGGTTCAAATGACGTTTAACTTTTAAAATAGGAACCCCGTTACGTTGACAGTTTTTTTCGTTGCGCTGCTGATTATTCTTGTACTTTTGTATTTAAATGTATTATGTGATTTTGAATTTAGTGATAACTGTATGAAGCTTTACCTGAGACAAGACATTTTCTCACACCTAGCTGTAGACTGAGATGATACGCAGCATGATAAATCAGAATATTGTTTATAATATTAAAATGTAGTCAGTTCTTTTTTCAACCCATTTCAGTTTTGTATGGCAACTAAAAGGGTTATGAAAGAGTTAAGAGTCCAAATCTCCTATATGTTACTGCACGGATTAAGTTTAACACATTAATGGGGGTGTAACTGTCTGGGTCTGTCCCCTCTGCAGAGTGTAAAGATGTGAACACTGTGGCCTACTGCCCCCTGGTGCTCAGGTTCAAGTTCTGCAGCCGGCCATATTTCAGACAAATGTGCTGCAAGACCTGCCAGGGCCACTGACACCACGAAACTCCCAGCAGCCGCCCGGGGGTCCTGTTCTCCGGCAGAGGAGACCTGAGCGCGCTGAGCCTCAGAACAGTGTTTCCGTCAAGAGGAGAGCGTGGGACCCGGCGGGGACGCTGTCACACTGACGCCTGGTCCTGCAGCTGGCCAGAGGGACCTTTTTTCTTCACCCAGAATCCAGATCATACATCTCTGGGGCGAAGCAGTATGAGCTGAGTTTAAACATTCCACTGGAGGGGTCGACGGGGTGGGAGGGGGTGCTAAAACCTGGATAGGCAGAGAGAGGAAGGTGAATACTCTCTCCGTGTCTTTAAGCTTTCCTTTTTTTATTTCCTTTTTTTTTTTTTTTTGGTGCTACTTTGGTACACTTTAGCCTCGTCGCAGATCTCTCAAAGGTTTTTACTTGAGTGAACAGAGAAGATTAGCCTTATCTCCTAAACTTTGTTTGTTAGCAGGTCATTCTTTATTATGAATTGTCAAAATCCACAAGATAATGCTATTCTAGATATTGTTCCCCACAAAAAAGGAAAATCTTCTATTACAACATGACAGATGTGTTTTATGTTATCAGATAGTTGTTACTTGACCACATTGCTTTATGTTATTGCTTTGTTGCGTATCAGTGTATTCATCAAGTCCCGGCCGTTACTCAGTTGTATAAGCAGAGTTTGATTTGCACGAGGGTCTGCAGTCGAAGACTTTTGTTTTCAACGTTTGCTGTGGTGTGATCCAGCTCGATGTCTCTGTGGAAGTTCTAAACGTATCAGAGCAGCGAACCTGCCGTGGTCTTGCCATTTCAGATCAAAACACCTCTAGAGTATAACACTGCTTCATGCTGCACAGAGCCTTCAGTATTGCGAGCTAAATTCACGCTTAGTCACCAGGATATTTTCAGATTTAAGGATATGAGTTTTTGCGTGGGATGCTGCTTGTTTGTAAATTCTTCCCAAAAGAACGTGTTGTCATCAAAAAATCCCTCATTGCAGCCTCGCTGGTATATTATTTCAACCATATGTTTAATGTTGTCCGTAATGTGTGCTTCAAATGAAATTCAGAGCACAGTGAGCAACAGTGAAGACCTCTCGACTGCATTACTTTCAATATTTTATAGCGCAACTGCTCATCTGAGGAGGGATTTACACCTGTCAAATACTAAGCTACATTCATGGCATGCATGTCATATGCAGTTACATGTACAGTTTCCTCAACATAATATGCAAGCAACTAATTCACGCTTAGAAACTATAAAACTTCTTCAACCTTTTCCTTTATTGTCGAAGCTCCCTTTAATTAAACACCAGTCTTCACTCTCCTAAATAAAATTGTCTTGCACTGAGCTGCTGTGAATATACAACACCAAATCAGAAACGCTTGTTATGAAGTGAAGGCTAAAATACATTTCTAGGAGCAGATGTCTGCAGCACACAGAATTGATATCCAATACAGAATTAATATGTTAATTGGTATCCAAGATTACCATTTGCTCTTTTAAAGTCATATCTGTATCCAGGGACATCTATTAATTTTTCAAAACAAACACTAAACAATGGTGATCATCTGTGGACATGTCTGAATAATGTTTCGTGTTGTGAGATTACAAGGTGATGAAAGAAAAACTGTCCCCACTTTTTATGGATTATTTTACAGGCATGAACTGCAGAAAACAAAGTATGTACGTAAATTAAGCCAAGCTGCACACAGCTTCCTTTCTTTTCTTCCCCATTCCAGCAAAAAAAGAAATTCTGATTTGAGTCTGTAGATTCCAGTTTCAGCAAAAGACAATCATAATAATACTTCTAGCGTAGTTGTCTTGATAGCCCTTAAAAACAACATACTGAAAATACTGCAGTCCTAGTGGTTAAAGACCAAGAAAATATTGTACAGTCCATGTTCAATAGAGGTCAGTTCAAACCACTTATTAGTCTAACAAGGGGAAAACAGCGCACATTCTGTGTAGACTCTGTGTGACGGGCCCATTAACATCTTTTCTGCTATTACGTAATAACAGATTGTGTACAAATCAGCTAAAGAGGATTGTATTCACTGACGTCTGTATCCCTTGTGATGGTTGCCAAATCATCCTGACGTCTCATGTCTGACCAAGCTGGCCACATGGGAATGCGTCATTTTTATGCCGTGTCTTTACTAGGTATATGAGGAAGCATCCCGCCGTCATGGAGAAACATCTATGGGAATATGTGGCTCTCTGAGTCTGCATGCTGTAGCTGCAGGCGCCCTCTATGATTTGCTGCGTGCTGGAGCCCAAAAAAACTATGAGATCAATAGGCGAATCAGAGCAGTACATTTCCAGCTGGAGAATCAAACAAACATAGATCTGGGTGAAATTTGTAGGTTCAACACCACAAATAACGTTTTTTTCTCTGTTTTATGGCATCTTGCATGTTATTTCATACATACTTGCAGTGAAATATATTATCTCAAGAAGCCTTTCCCGGTTGTCTGATTGATAGACCCAAAATATAAAAAAACCACCAGCAGTTTTTAAAAAGTATACGAGTTGCTTCCACTGTGATTTACGTCAGCCTTTTTATAGACCAGGATCTGAAAGTGTGGCTCAAAATGTTGCAAAAATGTCATCTGTCCTGAATACTCTGAGCATGTTACACATTTTTAGATACGCTGTTTCAGCTTTTTTGGCCATCCTGTAGAGAACCATTATAGAAGTGTTGCTCAAGACTTACTTATAGGTCAGTCATCAAGTCTGGCGGCATCGCTGTGACATCCACCGAGCTCTGAAGAATTCTGTGGCTTTACTGTGATCAGCTCTGGATGCAGCACGGTGTAACAGTAAATGTCCCATCATCTCTCTGTGAGGAGACAGAGACCGTGTGCCTTTGTGGGATTTTTGCTGCAATTTTCTTTTTTTTTTCTTCATGGTGCTTTGGTTTTGAATGGTGCTATTAGTTTTTTGTTGTTGTTTTTTTTAGTCATAACTCCGACAATTGCTAAAATGTTTCGAGCCTCTGATACTGGCAGTCTGTAGGGCGGGCCTGAGGTGTACATGTGCTGCTCCTTAAGAGCGTGTTAACCACGAAGAACCCTTTTTTTTAATTGATGAGTTAATTTATTAATCATATATACCATATGGCATAAATTACGTTTCAAAAAGTACACCTTAAGATTTCAAAACATTGTCTTGCTTTTGAGTACACAAAAAAGTAAATTTGAGGTAACCAGTTTATGTATGAATTCCCTATAATCAAATGTCCAGTAATCATCCATGTGAAGCACCAAAACATGATGTACATTTATGGTTTGTATATTCAGTTCCATAGCAGTGTACAGTTAACTCAAGCCTGTCAGTTTGTGTACTGGAGAGACAGAAATCCCTTCTGTAAAACCAATTTTAAAGGTAAAACCTGATTGAGATCCTATTTTACACCTGGAGCTAACATGTCTGTGCCTGTGCAGGGGCCTGGTTAAGTTAGGAGGCCTTCAGTCTTCACAATGTGCTCACATTACATGGATTTCATACATGTAAAAACACCTAAATTAATAGTTAGGGGGATAATTATGACATAGAGGCTGTTTTTGTGAGGAATAGCCATCTTCTGGAAAGGATGGCTTAATGTTTTCAGCTTATCTGGAGTAGTTATCCAGACATGTTAAGACGGGGTGTGAATTGGGTATCCTCTGTATCTGGAAGTTTTTTTTCTATGTATTTAACTGTGCTGGGAATGAGGTTTCAGTCTGAGCCGCCTCACCTGGTTAAAAAGGAGGGACAGTATCAGTTATTCAGTTTTTCATTTGCTAATTAAATGTACTGTATATTGTTCTATACTATAGGAGATTACTTTGTCCCCAATGTACATCTCTTTAAAAGTAAATATTAAAATGATTAAACATGATGCTTTGTTGATTTTGAGACCAAATATTTGATTTGCTTTCTGTCCACAATTCCCTGAATCACTTCATTTTCTTGTTTTATATACTCGAAGATGTTTTTTCTTTTCTCCTTTCCAGTTGGAGGTGTAGGGTTGCGTAATGGTGCTGTATTTTGGGATTTGACTGCTTTCATGGAAAATTTTAAGCACAGTCTTCTTCCCTTTTTCCTGAATCAGTCATCAGTGAAATTAACCCTGAAGAAAAAGCTGACCCAGTGATACATTTTTTTTTCCGTATGACATCTATAAAAGGAACTTTTCAAACGTAGACATAGTCTTGCCATCACTATGTTGATTTTCATTTACAAATCTATTCATAGTTAGTTTTGTTTATTCACTCGATGTAAAGTAAACTGGAACAATCCCCCTCCTCAAACCTAATTGGTCAGCTCTGGTGCTGTGAATCGGTTTAAAGCTTTTCACTATTATGATAAAATACTAACCCAGATCCACCTGGGCCTAAAGATCCCAGTGGTATTGGATTCCTTGCTAAAGTGAACAAAACAAAGACACAGAGATCCAAAACCTTAAATACTCTGTCAAAAAAGAAATGCAAAGTATGTATTAATCCAATTGATCCAAAACTTCAAAAACAGGAAACACGTTACAAAATGCGCAGACAAATCAGTGTTTTCCAAAACCCGACGTTTAAATGAGTCATTTGTGTGACAAACTGACATTTGTGTCAGATGTCAAACTCAATATTGTAAAAAAAAAAATACAAGACCAAAATGCCCCCAAATATTCAACTATGATGACTTCTGTCCTCTGTGAAAGAGCTTTAAAAATTCAAAATCAAACAAAGCTAAAAAAAACTAAAAAAAACCCACACCATTCTACGCCTCTGTGAACACACACACGCTGCTGTGCGCTCTTCCTGAACTTGATGGTTATTTTGGGCGTTGGAAGAAGCACCTTTCTGACAGCACAAACACAAGTGAGGCAACCACAGTCTGGGTGGAGCCAGCACCTTACAACTGAAACACCCATCATTTCGCAAGATGCTGGAGATAATCATCCCTTTGCTGCCGTTGTTGCCATCAACACTCGCCCTCTGCGAGGCACGAGAATTGGACTGACTAATTGTGGTTCAAAGCTGAGAGCGCAGCTGTTGAAATACTGTTTTTGGTCATTACTAAATCCTGCGCTCTGCTTGATGACTGAGAGAAATACTGATGTAGCTTCTCGTTTTTGTGGGGGGGATATGTGCACCAGCATGTGTGTGCTCTTCAAACAGTTCTTGTTTCACACACTGTGGCTGCATGAGGAAGTAGGTTTTGAATGTTGCGCTAGATGTCTTGTAGCTTGGTGACTGCCGTTGGATTTGACTGTCCCCCCTGCGTGATGGCAGCACTGTGAAGAGATCAAAATTTGGATTTTAACAGCTGACACAGAGACATACACTTTCTGCACCGCGGGCACCCGAAGAGGAGAGGTCCACCAGAACAATGGTAAAGTAACCCGTTTTGATCACCTGTCCGAAGACTTTTAAATGCTTGGATCTTGATGATATGCTGGCAGATATCATTTGGGTTTGGTCTGTTTAATGGTTTTAAATGTCACGGGAGCTTCCAATGAACATTTCATGTCAGAAATTTCATAGACACAAGAGAAAGAAGGGCTTTCGTGGCTTTAAAGTAGGCTTTCACATGATAAGGGATTATAAACTGAATCAACTTTACTTTCTTTGTTGCAGCAGAGTGGGGTCGTTCTCTTAAGAAAAGGCATGTTCATCTAGAGAAGCTAAAATGGATCAAATATCCAAACAAATTTTAACGGAGTGAAGCCAGGAAATGCAGATTCACAGTCTCTAGAGGCAAATATGAGAAAAGTGGTGATGCTAACAAAGGAAGAAAAAACCCATTGTGATATCAGATTGAGTATATATTCCTCGGCAGTGCTATCTCACACTTTTTTGTCGACCTAGAGACAAAAAAGCAGAGCAGCAGGCGGCTGCAGGAAGAGAGCCGGTAGCATGTATAAAGTTGAGGGTTTCACAAGAGGCAGCAATGAGGTGTGAGAGGAGGAAGTGGACTACAGGAGAGGCCTGCAGTTTCTGTCACAACATTTCCTCCTCACATTAAAAAAGCCCCCCCTATACATTTAGAATAATACAGTCTTATTTGGTTCGGTAGCCGCATGCTGACCGGCTCTATTTAAGTCACACAGACAGGTAGTTTTCCAAAAGGGTTATATTCCAAACGTGGAGGTAAACTTTTCTCTCTTGAACTTTTTATTGTCCTTTTATGACCACATAAATCATCAATGGCCTACAGACACTTTTTTATATTACTGACACATAAAGGAGGAAGGGCACAGGAAGGTGATAAGTCTCTCAGGGGGGGATACTCTTGTTATATCTGAGCAAGAATTTAGAGACTTCCGGTTTTTATATCTCAGCTGATAACTGCTTTCAAAACCGCAATAGAACAGGTGCCTAGCAGTGTTAAGGGTTCTTAGCTTAATAAACAGTTGCAAATTCATCATATTCTTCTCAGTGTTTTAACAGATCAGTGTTTTTCAGTTTACTCTGGTCTCGTGTTTTTGTTTTTTTCTGATCAGATTCTTGTAAAATTAGATGTGATTTAGGTGCTTCAAACATCTGAAAGAAAAGGCAATTAGAAAAAAAGTGAAAAGGTTTGTTTTCATGCCAAATTTGGTGCGTATATCACCCAGTGAAAAAAACGTTGCTGTCATGCATTTGAAATTTGTTTCACCCTGAACTTCTCGAATTGCACAAATGACTCAAATTAAACAATGACCGAAATCCTCTTTTAACAATGATGACATGCAGTGCTGAAAAAATACTTCCTCCAGAAATCTGACACTAAAAGAGAGGCTTTTAAGATAAATAAAATAATTTATTATAGGCTGTTTATACTTGTAGTGTACTCAGATAGGTGAGCATTAACAACAGCAGATGTTGTGTGGTCTAAGGGAATACAAATTGTGTTTAAATTGCAATGTAAATGCAATGTAACAACCTAAAAAACTTCATCATGGTGTGTCCGCATGCTTTGTAACACTGACTTTGGACGAAAGACACAAACATACAAGTTACTGTAAACAATCATTACTAGCCAAGTCTGTCAAATAATAGACTTGAACTGACTCTCTATTGCAAAAAAAACAACAGGGTCCAGCTATCATAGGAAATCATTTAGAGTTCACATCAGCACATGAAAACATAATGAACTATCATCTTCCCAGGTGCAATTAAAATGGGGACAGAGTAACAAGAAATAGAGGCAGCCTTTTGATTTGAAGGCTTTAATTCCTATTTACACTAAAGATTCTGCCTCCATGGTGGTGTGATGACCTCACAGCAAGATGGTCCCCAGTGGGGCCTTTCCTCCATGCCTCCTCCCACAGTCCAAAAATGTAGATGTAAAGTTAATTTGTGGCTCCGTTGGGAAATGTTGAATGATCTGAAAAGTTAGGCAGAATGTGGTATGTTAATTAGAAAACCAATGGCACGGAGCTGGAGGCGATTTGTTTATTAGAAGATTGCTAGTGAGGGATGACTGTTGCTGCTGAGTAGCTCGGATACAAGTATCAACTGTGCTCAGCAGAAAACTACGCTGAAATATCTATAATGATACAAGTTTGATGCAGCCTTTGTCATGTGATGCTCACTGCAACGAGTTTCTACCCATGAGTCTGGAAATGCCTGTCGTAAAATAGACCACAGCCCAACCACTTTGCCAAAGAGAAACCCTGTAAGACAGCACACATCAAACAGATCTACTTCAGTCAGACAAACCTGGCTTCCCCCCAGGAGTCTTTAAGAATGAGACAGCAGAAGTTGAGCAGCATTTCAAGAAAACCTTCATGGAAACTAAATTCAATTTCAAAACACAGCAGACTTTAAGGTAAAGACGTACTGCTGTTTTTTTTCTGTGCCGAGTGTCACTAAACCTCTCTATTATGTCCAAGTTAGAAAGTGAGCTCATCACAGCGACTGGTTGCCTGGCAGCCAGCCCCAGCTTCCTGTAACAACAAACCACATTGGGTTATGTTCTCAAAAATGCCCCAACTGATGCCCCTCATTTTTTTTACTGCCCATCTGCTTAATTCGTTCTCCATTTTTAGCCACCAGTGTTCAGGAATTAACTTCTTTTATTTTGCTTCTGGGGTTTCCTTAAATACCCCAACATTGTTCTTTCTTTACACGCTCTGCTTCTTGCATGATTGCTCTCTCTTCGGCCAACGTGTCCTTTTTTCTTTAATAATGTGACCATTTCTGTGAGGGCAGATTCATCACCATATATCAGGCATTGTAAAATCAATGGATACTTCTGACAACAACACTTTAAAGTATTAGGTTGCACATCACTTAATAACATAGGACCAGAATACATCACAGTTCTTCCCTTGAATATACATTGAGCAGAGCTCGGCGGTGTTTACGTAGCTGTCAGCAAGCTGAACTACAAATTAGGACCCAACAGGATAAAATCTTTTACTGCTCTGCTGTACGGCGATGGAATAAACTGTCTCTTTATGTTAAAGGTGCCCCACCTCTGGACACATCTAAAGTTAAAACTTTACTGTTTCCCAATGCCTTTCTTTGGATGGATTTGACTGCAATTTTTTACCCTTTTTGTGTCCTGTCAAACATTCTAATTGTTGTTTTAATTATTTTCATCCATTTTTTCTCTTAATGCCTTTGTAAAGTACTGAGTCACCGTTGTGTTTAAAATGTGTTATACATATAAACTGGACTCACATGTCAAAGGTTTTTCTTCTCTGAGATAGGAAACATCAGATTTTTCTACATTAAATATAATGGTATCTGAGATGGTTCTTTGCATTTCTCTTTGTGTGTTGTGTGTTTTAGGCGAAGTACCACTGGCAGAGTCAGAATGTGAAGCAAAGCGGAGTGGACGACATGGTCCTCCTGTCCAAAATAAGCGAGGATGCCATCGTGGAAAATCTGAAGAAGAGATATATGGACGACTACATCTTTGTATCCTACAAGCAGTCAGTCAGACTATTGTTGTTTTACATTGTAGCCAGATGTGAAATGTGTGCCAACATTGTTGGGGAACAAAGACAGGAAAACATCTTTGAGATCTTCATGAACATTTGTGGACATAATACAACACATATACAACATATAACTTTAAAAAAATTCAAATGGCACCATGATTCAGGAACATTACTTCTCATCGCATAGACTGTTTTCATGCATCTCTTTCTCCAAACTCATAGATTTGCTTGCAAAAATGGACGCCAAAACCAATAACTCACTCTTCCTCCTTTGGTTCAACTGCATGACTCAACATCTCACTTCTGTCTTCTTAGAAACATTTATTGAAATCGTGTTTAGGACGCAAAAGAAAACTGTGGCGTATTTACATATAAGCACGTAAAAGTACATTGTAACCACGACCTTTTTGCATTTATCAGTACACTAATGAAAATCATTCAATCAATAAGCTCTGAGAATGAAAAACATTTGACCAAAGTTCTATTTGAGTGTTTTGAGAAATCAGGAAGCATTTTGAGCGTTTAAACCTTATCATGGTCATGTTTGTAATATGCATTTCCTGAAGCTATAAGGTCACAATCGAAGAATAACCTCAGTGTTTCCCCCCCACCAGCAGGCTGGCACCATTGCAATGTTGGTTGAGACCAGAGTCACGCCACCCCGATGTGTTATAACCAATAAAAAATTATTGACTGTCAAATCAAAATTCTCTGAATCTGATTAAAGTTAAATTAAATATATCAACATTTTGATTTTTCTTAAAGTAATCAATAAATAAAGACAATCATCACGTAAAAACTATTGAGGATAAGATCACATTAAGCATCTAAGTAAAGCCGCTGTAGCTTGATTCAGCAGCCAGACACAAAAGGAAGACACCATATGATCCCTCAAAATGTGTAAACTGAATGAGTGGACAAATGACATACAAAATAGAACTTGAGACAATAACTTTTTCTAAAATAATAATATTAATTCAACGTACAAAAATACTAAAAAAGAATAATTAAAGTTGAGAACATTGTTATAAATCACAAAGAAAAAAAGTCTAATTCTCACCAGAAATCAAGGCGAGAAACCCAGAGAAGGAAACATGCAATTTGTTACAAAAGAAAGCAAAACACGCAATAGTATAACCATCCATACAACAATAAGGGAGATGAGCAGTAAAGGAAAAAAACAGACAGATATTAGCCTCACAACCCTCCTCCAGGTCCACAAGGCCCACTCTGAGGTCCTGTTACAGGGCAACAAATATAACAATCTGCATCATATCAAATGAAAATCTCTTTGGAAAAATATCACACAAATGTTGAAATAATCATCACAAGCTAAGCCTCAACTGCAACAACAAAGGCACCAGAGAAATTAAAGATCTCACTCTCCAACTAAATCATCTCTAAATCACTGGATGAGACAGAGAAGACTGTTTAGAAGAGGCATCAAACACAATCAAATACAATTTTGAGACAGCAAATGTTATCCAGAGGATATCATGAGAGCAGGAGGTCATGTTGTCCACAGAGCACTGAGACCGCTTGACCTCATCTAATGTAAGCTGTTGTGTTTTCCTACCTTTTCCAAGTTGATTTGAACGCCTGGCCTAAAATTAACATTTTTAATTACTAAAAGTGGGAAAACAAAGATGACCTGAAAACAAGAACCCACAATAATCCGACATCACGAGATTGCCATTTTCCCTGTTACACATTAACTTAGTAAATTCATCACAACTCACCAGCTTAAAAAATAAATCAAGTCTATGAAGTGAATGAATTGACACAATTTTCACAATATCCGTGTGCTATCCTTAACTACTTCCCTCAGACTTATATCGGCCCTGTCCTGATTTCAGTTAACCCGTTCAAACAGATGCCCTATTTCACTGACAGAGAGATTGAGCTATACCAAGGGGCTGTGAGTTCCTCTCAAAACTCTGCAAAGTTGTGGTATTTGTGGTACAGCGACTCTTCCGGCCACTGTACTCACTATCCTTTTTATACTTTTTTTTAAAAGTATAACTGATGTACCTCTGTTCACAGGCCCAGTATGAGAATCCTCCTCATATCTACGCTTTGACCGATAACATGTACAGAAACATGATGATTGAGGGGGAGAACCAGTGTGTTATCATCAGGTGATCAGAACTGCCTGCCTTCATCGCTACTTTTCCCCCGCTATCATACTCATGTTTGCCTCGTGTGTGGTGTCGATGATGTTGACTTCTGCTTTGTTGTGTGCTGTTTCTCACATTTTTATCCCATCGCGTCAGTGGTGAGAGTGGTGCAGGCAAGACCGTGGCTGCCAAATACATCATGGGTTACATTTCTAAAGTATCCGGAGGTGGATCAAAAGTGCAGGTACAGATGGCGACTGACAACCCATCTGCACATCTGTTCAAAATAACCTTTCGTGTAGGTGTTTTTGAGTCTCATTATTTGTAACCATGTCTTTTGCAGCATGTGAAAGACATCATCCTACAGTCAAATCCTCTGCTGGAAGCTTTTGGTAATGCCAAGACTGTCCGCAACAACAACTCTAGTCGTTTTGTAAGTAAGCTCTTTTCTTGAGAACACACTGTGGATGAAACATGACCTACCAGACCTTTCCAATAATGAAGCATAAACTGCCTTACATCAATTTATTTGATTAAATGCTGTTATCTAAAGATCATAAACTTATTACGTTTATTAACTAAAAGTAATAGTAATAGACACAACATGTATCATGGTAATGTGCTACTAAAACTTTGACGCATTAGCCCCTTGTCTCAAGAAGAAAAGCACTGTTCTCTGCATCTAATGACATAAATGTGTCCATTATCAAAACTTCAAGACAAGAAAATTAATCTCAGGATCAAAATGACTTGCATATTTAACATGTACAGTTTCAAAGAAGTTTTGAGTTCTAGTTTATATTCATCTGCATTTTTAACACCTTACCCTAATGACTCATTTTAATAAAAATGAAATTCAGCATGCACATTTCTAATGCACAACAATGGGTGTCTGGCCATATAAATACAATTCGAATAATTCAACCAAAAACTGTAAAGGTGAAGATTGAAAAGAATGTATGTGCCCATGTATGTGCCCAAGCATGCAAGAGTAATTTAGAAATCAGTGGGTCATTAGCTGCGCTGGTGCAATGTACCAGATAAAATAGAGCTAGTTCCTGTGCTGATGCATGCAGTTTTGAAGGCACTTCTGCTCCAGACATTTCATTAGCAAGGTTCTGAAACACTCATTTCACACCAATGAACCACATCAACTTTTACATCTGCAGTTTTGCCACAACAAACCCCTCCTTTGTCGTTGCGCCCGAGGTCTTGTTTACAGACCACTCCACAGACAGAGTTTGCAACTCGTTTATTTTCTCACTGATGCGGATGAGGCAAAGTAGACGTTGCTTATTTAAGAGAATGCTTCTCTGTTTGAGCACTGCATGAGTGCACATTATGGTCGGTTTCTTCTGCTTTCTCTTGTATTGTGCACTGTGTTGCCCTTACCAGATTTGTGACCTGTTTGTCATGGCCTAAGAGTCAACTTTGATTGTGCAATTACCAGGGAAAATACTTCGAGATTCAGTTCAGCAGAGGAGGAGAGCCAGACGGTGGCAAGATTTCAAACTTCCTGCTGGAGAAATCGAGGGTGGTGAGCCAGAATGAGAACGAGAGGAACTTCCACATTTATTATCAGGTCAGAAGCAGAGCACAGTCAGAAATCAAGAGAGCTTCATGCACTAAAAGGCACCATAGAGAAAAGGTCGAAGGTGTGCGAGTCATCCTGAACCTGCACTGTTGCCCCCCAGCTGATAGAGGGTGCCAACGCTCAGCAGAAAGAGGGCCTGGGCATCATGACCCCAGACTACTACTACTACCTCAACCAGTCGGGGACTTACAAAGTGGACGGGACAAACGACTGCAAAGACTTCCAAGAGACGATGGTAATTACTGTGTAAAAGTCCAGTGGTTCTATGTGGCCATTTATTTACATTTGACCTCTCTAACACATGGCTCTTATGACTTGTCTGTGAGGTCTTTAAGGGATACTTACAAATGATGCTGATGGCCATTAATTGTCTTGCCAATTTTAGATTCAGTTCGTTGGTTGTTGTTAGTTGACATCGGTTTTGTGCTCTTTTGTGCACTCATGTTGTGGTTTCCAGGAAGCCATGCAGGTAATTGGGATCCCAGGTGACATTCAGGCTCAGGTGCTGCAGATCATTGCGGGTATCCTCCACCTGGGAAACATCAGCTTCATAGAGGCAGGAAATTACGGGCAGGTGGAAAGCACAGACTGTGAGTGAAACACAAAGCAACCACACATATATTTGCTCTCTACATGCATGGACAGATTCTTTTCTAGAATATGAGCAAACTAGAGCTCATCTGGACAAAAGCAGTTCCAAGGCAGACTGTCAGTCTATTGATTAGCTGATTAACTGCACCCATCTGAATGACCTTGTTTATCTGCTCTTGTGTGCTGCCTCGGGGATATATTGCTCAAAATATAATTAGTATTATATAATTAGTATTTCCATTCAATTTAGCAATCAAAGTTATTATTCCAGTTGTTTCAGTCTTTGCATTAAGCCACATACACAGTGGAATGATACAATTTCAGATACTCTATTTTCTCACAACACAACAGATTCTAAATGAAATGTTTTTTAACCAAATTTGCATTAGTGCTTGCCTTCCCTGCCTATCTACTGGGAATTGACCCAAACCGCCTTCAGGACAAGCTGACTAGCCGGAAGATGGATTCAAAGTGGGGAGGGAAGTCTGAGTCCATCAATGTGACCCTGAATCAGGAGCAGGCCACCTACACTCGCGATGCCCTGGCCAAAGCACTTTATGCCCGCCTCTTTGACTACCTGGTGGAGGTACCCATTTTTTTCCGAACACAGTCAAAACCTAAACAATTCAACTTTACAGGAGGATTTATTTATACACGTTTCTTTGAAAGACATCTGTTACTTGTCTCTCACCTTAGGCCATCAATAAAGCCATCCAAAAACCTCATGAGGAATTCAGCATCGGGGTCCTTGACATTTATGGCTTTGAGATTTTCAAGGTTAGTGCTCTTACAACTTACAGATACCTAAAATTTACGGGCAGACAATAAAATTTGATATTTTACAGATGGTACAGGACAGCATGGTTTACTTGGCAAACATTTGACATTCAGTGAAATGTATTTTCCTCCGCAGAAAAACGGATTTGAGCAGTTTTGTATAAACTTTGTAAATGAGAAGCTTCAACAGATCTTCATTGAACTCACTTTAAAGGCCGAGCAGGTAACCTTAGAGCCTTTATTGCTTTTGCTTGTCTTTTTAATTGTTTTCCATTGTTTTGAACATCTCCGCTTTGATAAATGAAAAAGATAAAGAACAAACTTGAATCTGAACATGGTTTATTTATATTTCCTTGAAAACTCTTGCCATTCTCTCTCAGGAAGAGTATGTTCAGGAGGGCATAAAGTGGACACCCATTGAGTACTTTAACAACAAGATAGTGTGTGATCTCATTGAAAATAAACTGGTAAGCTCACAACAGGATTGGAAACCATAACCCTTTTGTCCACCTTAATTTTAAATGATGACTTTTTGCTGTGTGAATCTGGAGTGTCTGCTGTGACCTGTTCTATTAAACATTCTCACAACCATGTTCCCCTCTTGCAGAACCCTCCTGGCATTATGAGCGTACTGGATGATGTGTGTGCCACCATGCACGCCAAAGGAGAGGGTGCAGATGGCACTCTGCTGCAGAAACTGCAGGCTGCAGTGGGAACACATGAACATTTCAACAACTGGAACTCTGGCTTTGTCGTGCATCACTATGCTGGGAAGGTAGGAACTTAATGTCGATTGAAACCGATCCACCTTAAGCAGGAAAAATAGGTTTGACTTTTGAGAAACGTGACTTGGAGAACTGCCACTTTGCATATGTGAAAGAGGTGCAGATCACACCAAAAATAATGCTAACCTTTGTCCTGTTGATGTAATTTGCATAGCAGTTTTAATACTCAATGCTGTCTCAGGTGTCGTATGATATCAACGGCTTCTGCGAGAGAAATCGAGACGTGCTCTTTCCTGACCTCATTGAGCTCATGCAAAGCAGTGAATTGTGAGTGTCGTTTTGCCAAGAAATGTCTTTATTTTGCACATTTTTGTTGAAAAAGAAAAAAAAACATTGAAAAAATTTGCTTTCTCAGTGATTTCATTTGTAGCCTGTTCCCTGAAAATCTTAACACAGACAAGAAAGGTCGGCCGACGACAGCGAGCTCCAAGATAAAGGTGAGAATTTACCTCCTAAACGAGACCCAACTACCTTAAAGAGAGAAGGGTGTGTTTTGAATTGTAACAGCACAGTAATGCATCTAACAGAGACAAGCCAACAACCTGGTGAACACACTCATGAAGTGCACTCCCCACTATATCCGCTGTATCAAGCCCAACGAGACAAAAAGACCAAAAGACTGGGAAGAGAGCAGGTGTGCAAGCTCACCCTCACACATGTTAATACAGGAAAACACACAGCGGGAGAGTCTTTATTAAATGCAAGAAACACGCTTGTTCCCAGGGTTAAACATCAAGTTGAATACCTCGGGCTGCGGGAAAACATTCGTGTGCGCAGGGCTGGATTTGCATACCGCAGAGTCTTCAACAAGTTTCTGATGAGGTCAGTTTGAGCATGCACATTACTGAGCACTGCAGGACTTATGGGAATTAGTCCTGAAAGAACATCATCGCTCACAAGTTCCCTATATGTGGTGTTTTGGGTTTGTTGAACCCAGGTATGCCATTCTGACAGCTGAAACATGGCCATGCTGGAGGGGCCCAGAACAGCAAGGGGTGCTTCATCTCCTCCGCTCCGTCAACATGGACAATGATCAGTACCAGATGGGACGCTCTAAGGTCTTCGTCAAAAACCCAGAATCGGTGCGGAGCTCTTCATTATGTCACCCTAGGCTGAATTAGACTTTTTAATTGACCAACTTACTTAAACTTAAAGTGTCTGGGAAAATTGACAACATACATTTTTGGTCTTGTGTAAAGTAGATAGTTGTTGAAATGAGGGAAATCAACACTTTGTTCTAAAAAATCAGTGCAATTGTCTTTATTCTTAAGATTGAGTGAAAACAGCTACAAACTTTGGCTTTTGTAGAAAAGCAGAGAATAGAATAGAGAACTTTCGTTGTCACAGTAAAACAACAAGCCATGCTGCGAAACAGAACGACATCATTGGGCTGTTTGATCCTTACATAAGTCCTGACATAAACAGGAAACCAAACAATAACATGTAACACAGTAAAGCATGGCAATATTCAGTGTGGATGAATGTGTTGCATGTGTATCACGGGATGTAACGTGTTAGGCTGCATTGTTATCAATGCCGTTTTCACACTTGGGGATTATCTTTAAATAAATCATATCTTACTCTCAAAAACTCTGTGGAGAAAACTCTGAAGACTCAGAGTCTTCTTAGTTGGTCATGCACCGCTTCTACATTAGTTACATTCATTTTGTCACATAAACTATGATGACTACTGTAAGCTGAAAAGCTAGTCACCTTTTGACCGGACAGGTAATAAATAGAAATAAGTAATATCGTAATGAAAAATTAAGTGTTTATTTCTCCCCCATGCTGTATTGCCCTCAGCTGTTTCTTCTTGAGGAGATGAGGGAGAGAAAGTTTGACACCTATTCCAGGATCATCCAAAAGGCCTGGAGACGATTCATTGCCCGAAAGAAGTATGAACAGATGAGAGAAGAGGGTGGGTGACAAAAACAAAGATTCACCATAAATTTTTCCAACACGATTACACATTTTGAGCAATTATTTGAGCATCTGTCTTTTCGATTAATTCGCAGCCTCGGACATCTTGTACAACTCCAAAGAGCGGAGGAAGAATAGCATTAACAGGAACTTTGTTGGTGACTACCTTGGTCTGGAGCAAAAACCTGAACTGCGGCAGTTCCTGTCCAAGAGGGAGCGCGTGGACTTTGCTGATTCCGTCAACAAGTTTGACCGCAGGTTTAAGGTGAAAAGCTCTTTAGAAACTATGTTTTTTTTTTCTTCTTAAGGCTGAAAGAATTATGTGTAATTTTGCTGTTTTACCCAAAACAAGACGTGATTATTATGTCATACAAGGTCATCATTTTTCACAGTTAGAAGATTTTGAAATTGTAACATCTTTTCCTCTGTTGCATCAGCAGTTTGTACCTCTTTTTTCTTCTCACAGTCTATCAAGAGAGACTTGATCTTGACCCCAAAGGGCATCTACCTGATTGGTCGTGAGAAGGTGAAAAAAGGGCCGGAAAAAGGACAGATCAAAGAGGTGCTGAAAAGAAAGCTTGAGTTTGGAAGCCTCAGCAGTGTCTCTCTGAGGTAGGTCTCTAATGTACAAGAAAATATGACTAAACATGGTAATGCTAGCACTTGTGGTTAGCTGTTAACCAGTGAGAAGCGTCTGCCGCAGTGTGAGTAAATATAGCAAACTAACACTTCATGGAACATAGAAGTCACAAAATGTCAGCTCTTAACTGCTCTTTACTTGGTATTTTTAGGAAGTTTTACATGGAAAACTACGTTTTCAAAGTTAATATTACTTTCATGCCAATCATTGCAGAGGTTCAATAGTTAAAGCTCAATTCAAAATAGAAATTGTTAAGATATTACTCAGTTCCTGTTGCCATACAGAAATAAGGGCTTTCAATTCTTCTTATCAGTTCCTGACCACAACCATCGACAGTTCCAGGAATAGAGTTAAGTTAACTTGAAAATGCGTCTCTAGACATGCTGCTCTTTCACAAATGATGAACCTCTTTCCACATCTATGTACTGTACATGATCACATTGGGCCTGCTTTTGTGACTGATCACTTCATAAATCGCCGATGATTTATGTGAGTGTGTTTCCCATAAATGCCAAAGCTAATAATTAGACTTTCACCAAAGAAAGGTTTTTTTTTTTTTTTTTTTTTTTTGGGGGGGGGGGGGGTTGGAATCAAAACTTGGGGAAAAAATTGTAATTGAACTGATGAGAAAAATCTAAAACAGAGTTCTAATATTCAAATGACAGAAAATGGAGCATCTATGAATGTTATGCTACAGTTTTTCTTTTTGTAGATATAAACCTGCAAATAGGCATCACATAAACTAAATAAAAGATGCGTGACTGACTGTTGACCACTGCTGCTGCTACAGCTCCAGCTGTTTCTATTGTCAGCTGTTTAAAATGAGATGTTAGGTGAAGATAGTTGAACTGATCGGAAGTACAGCCCTGACCAAATCGATTTATGCGTCCTGCTGTCTGCAGTTCAATCCGAGAGCCACAAACACCACACCTGAAGGTGGTAGAAGCTCGTCATTAAAATGTGTATTTCTATGTGAAAATTCAAGCTGCCGTTTCAATAGCTATATTTAGGGTCAATACTAACATGATCTATTATAGCTCTTTTATTTAGGCGCAGTTTTAAATGCACTTCACTACACATTTATATTTGAACTGACTTTAAAGAAATAGATGGATATAAACAGGGACATTTTGAGGGATGAGCAACAAACCAGCTGTGCAACTTTTTGTCTGGTCTTGAGTCATATTAGAGTTTCTTCTTTCTTCCCCTCAGCACAAGACAGGATGATTTCTTCATCTTGCACGAGATTGAGTACGACAGTCTTCTGGAGTCCAATTTTAAGACAGAGTTCCTCAGTTTGCTGTCCAAACGCTATGAGGAAGTGACCAAGAGAAAACTAACAATCTCCTTCTCTGACCGGTAGAAAAAACACACAGAGAAACATACATATACACAGTGTATGTTTGAGAAAACACACTCTCACGCAGCAAAAACCTTTTTTTTGTTCTGATTCAGACTGGAGTTTAGAGTGAAGAAGGAAGGCTGGGGCGGAGGCAGCTCCAGAGTGGTCGTGTTCCAGAGGGGTCAAGGGGACCTGGCTCAACTCAAACCTGGTGGGAAGACCCTATCCATCACAGTAGGGGATGGTCTGCCTAAGTCTTCCAGTAAGTTAAAAATAATTACAAGATAATACAACCTTATAATAAGATTCAAGATGGCCTATAGTGTCATTGTAAAAAAATATATAAACAGTACATAAGGGGCCTTAATAACATGTATGTTACACAAAGATCATGCAAACATACACAGACATACCCACATACACATGCTAATTTATTCTGAATAAATATTGTGTTGATAAAAATGCTGACAGATTACTAAAAATAAATTACTCCACTGCTTTTAATTAAAATTAATTAAAATCAGACGCACATAACAAAGTGATTGAACATGAGGAACAGGTTTTATCTAAAGACAACTCAAAGAATGTGTAACTCCAGAGAAAAAATCTTAGCCAACCTATAATGCCTCTCAGAGGGTACGAGGCGATCTTGACGGCTACAGTCACTGATGATGGCAGGTTGAGACCTCAGTTTGCTCTGGAGAACAGTTGAAAACATTTATAAAACTGTTTCACAGTTTTACAAATGTTCTGTCTTTGCTAACCCATCAGGTACTGTTTTGATCACAAAAAGCAATTCAAATGTGTCAATAGTTAAATTCTGTGTCCACATGTCATAACCACATGTTACTTTCATTAGAGCCCACCAGGAAGTCTGGCCAAGAGAGTCATGGCAGAGGAAGGAACCATGTAGACAACAGAGGTAAGCCCCTCCCCAGTCTGACCTCCTATACCCAGTCCAGTCACTGCTACAAAAACAGTTGTTTTGGTTTTCATTTTGGACCCTCAGATTATATGCACAGAACTTGCATTATTTGCTACAATAATAAAGACACGATAATCAGTTTGATTACTTCTAACTTTGAAGATCAAGGTTGTAAAACTAATGTACATATATTACATATAAAACTATTCAGCATAAAAAAACAGCAATTACGACATAAAAAACATTTATAATTCAGAGATAACAATCATTAGTAGTAGTCGGTACTGACAGAATCACATCAAGAGTCATTTTTTATCCTTCTTTCATGTTATCTGAGTAAAGACTTTGCTCTTTTTTTCTCTCCTTTAAGCATACCAGAATGGAGCGCCCAAGTTCTCCAATGCTCCTCGTAACCAGAGGTCAGAGATCACATATTCTGCCCCGAACAAACACGGCAGACCCCCTAGCACAGTCTTGCCCAAACTGGACCACCAGAGAGCTCCACGAGCCCCAGTCCAGACCCAGAACCAGGGGGACATGGCCTTCCTTAATGTGCCCGACCAAGGCATGTCAGGGTAAGAGGCATCACTTTGAAATATGAAGAGACAACTACGATGACAGATGACAGAAAGGGTGGAGTTCATTACTAAAAAAAAAGTCCATACAGGTTTCATGAGCTGTTAAGGCTTGTCAAGGTGAGGCTTAATGCATCTAACCAGTGGGTGAATCTCATTCTTTGTACAGAGCAGAATCTTTGATACTGTCTCCCGGTAGATTTCATGAGACACGCAGAAAAAAACAACAACTAATCAGACAGGATCATGGGAAAGAAATCACTTTAAATAAAAGTCATTTACAGCACGTATTGTAGTAAAACAGTCTGACATAGAGAGGAGGAAAACTGGAGGTTTAAATGCAACCTAGCTGGGCTGGAGGCAGGAGAAAACAAAAGTTCTGGAGACCTTTAAGGGACTGGTTCATCAAAAGTAATTCTATGGAGGATAAACAATCTCCAAAACAGAAATAATACTTAAACCAGGTGATTGGACTTTTTTCCCTCTTTGTTACAGGATGCAGAGGAAAAGAAGCATCAGCCACCGACCGCCTCCTGCTCCCAAACCCCAGCCAGCACCCAAAGGTCCCCGCTGCCGGGCGCTGTATCAGTACGTTGGCCAGGACACAGACGAAATCAGCTTTGAGGCCAATGAAGTGTTTGACCTCGTCAAACAGGGTACGTGCACTAAAGAAGCAAAGACGAGGGAGTAAGGAGAGCAGTTTTGGATTCATGCACAAATGAACACGTCTTTTCTTATTCTCTCTGCAGATCCGTCCGGCTGGTGGACAGGCAGGATCAGAGGAATGGAAGGGCTCTTCCCCGGGAACTATGTGGAAAAGATATAAGCAGCGCTTCTCATGGAAATGTTTGAGTTAGTTTAAAAAAAACCAGTGTTTTTCTTGAATGCAGAACATTTAGATTGTCTAAAAATAATTCAAATTTAAAAAAAAAAAACTGCCAAGAGTGTTTCAGGCTCGGAGGGTAGCTCTCCCCTCCAAAACGGAAGTCATGATGGAAATGGAGCTGTTTAAGGGAGGACTTTGTGGACATTTGAGCCCTTGCTAAACTTCCCTGGCAAACAGAACTGGACGAAGACAGGACGGGAATCGTGATGGTCATGATTGTTGAAACAGGACTTAAAGGAGCGGCTCAGGTTTCATCTCTGTTGAAGAGTCAAGTGACTCCGTTGTGAACAACCTCGCAACAAGATCTATGACCTCATCCACAGGCTGACAACACCTTCTTTTGAGCGGCTGTCACTGAGCAACTTGAAGCTCAAGTTGAACCAAAACTGAAAAGTGACCTGAAAATACTTCCTTGCTTCCAGTTGTCCTCGGCATCTCTACTGTTCTCTGACTTTTTCTCAAGATCAGATTCTAGCAATACTCGCTGTTTTTGATTGAATCAGCAGCATAAAATGGGAAAAAACAAACAGTAAATATGCAACAAGTGGTATTGACTGATACTTAAGTGTAACCAATCCTCTGACACAATGTTGTACTTTTGATTTTTTTTCTTACATCTGTTTTATCCAATGTTCATGGTATTTTCTGAGCTTTTTTTTCTCCTCAATAAAAACTAAAAGAAGTATATTTTCATATTTTTACCTTGAGAACTTATGCACTGGTTTGTATTGTGACATCAGTATGTTATGTGCCACTTGATAAATGTTACTTATCCTCTCCTTCCACTTAGCTTTCTTCAGGTGCATTTATGTAAAGTAATGACATTTTCTCACAGTCAATCAATTTGTATTTTTTTAATATGAATATGATGAGAGGAATAAAGTTTCTCAGATCACATTTCTTCACACAGTTTTTCAATTGTCAAAATTAGCTGTTTGTAACCTTTTTTGAAGATGGCGGTGAATAATTCTGTCAGGGCTGTTGAATCAAGTTTCAGTTCATGTTTAGTTAGTTTTGTGTCCTAGAAAGTTAACCTCTGGAGCTGTGTGTGGAATGTGGGTGGGGTTAGACATTGTTTTTGCAAATGCTCCGTGAAATTTGAAGGGAAGGGTTATTTCAACAACAATGGTTGATAAGCAACGAGACTAAGACTTCACCTGAGCTGTGAACACATAGCTAACATTAATGTCAGTTTCATCTAAACTTACAGCCCCTACTATGTTTGTAACCATGGTGTTACATGAAATCAGATATCCTACATCTGGGTTTGTAATCACGTCTAACAATAAATTATAGTGAATGCAAACAGATAATACAGAATCTGCTCAGCGTGTTTAAGCAGACTGGACTTAGTTGTTTTAAGTATGACCTGCAAGCACAAAGCATCTGTGCCCGTGTTCTTAAAAGGTTAAAGCTCAGCAGCCCGGTGTAATAGGATTGCCAAAAGCCTGGTTTCTCTGCCTGTTGACAATCTGTTTGTTAGAAGGCATATTTACAAAAGGACAACAGTGAACGGTTGCTTCAGATTCCATATGCAGAACAAATATTACTGGATCTACCGGTACATAGAAGGAAAATAATGCCTAGAACTCTTTGCCTGCGGGTGTTACAGTTTTAACAAATGTTTTCAGAGGAAACGACTGTCGCAGATTCCTCAACATACGTGCCAAACGCGCACTTGACTCGAGTATTACTTGTATTAGGAACTGGGCCCTCAGAGGCAGATGGACCGGTTGAGCCTCTCCTTTCCTGCCATGACACAGAGCCAGGTACGGCAGCAGGAACCACCCTCTCCAACCGACAATGAACGGGACCTGAACGGGGCATTGCTGCGCTTAAAGGAACTTTATCATCCATTTTTTTTTATTTTTCGGTAGATTAATCAAAACGCTTCTACATTGTTTTTAAGCTGTGACGTGTTCAGAGAGTGAGAAAAAAATCCGGTTATTTTCCATTTGATGACATGTTCCCCGAGAGATGGGGACCGGCGTGATTGTTCATTACGTCACAGACGCGCGCGGCAGAGCCGTCCGGGAGCGTGTCGATCCTCCACCCGGTTAAATCCACCTGTTGCACCACCTGGAGCAGAGCAGCCTGACTGGAGGCTGGGGAGGACGCGCAGGATGGGAGGTAAGGGGAAAGAACCATCATTTTGACTGTTTGAGGTAGTTGACATTTTTACAGCTTTTGTTTTGTTTTGTTTTTTGTTTTTTGTATAGTCATTTTGAAGAGATATATAAAACTATCACCTGAATATTCACATAGTTATACCAGCAGTGAGTCTTCTGATCAATACAGTTTTTGGTCAAAATGATTAAAGAACTATCCTTTAAAAGTACGTTTTAAATGTACAGTGTCAAAGCCATAATAATACTTCATCTAGTATTTTGAGCAAGTTTCAGCAAATTTATTGAGGCTTTGTGCCTAAAGAGAGTTTTTAGGGTATTTGTATTTTATTTGACAATATTTATCTGTTCCTATCATTTTATATATTTTTTAATTGGCTACTTTGTTCATTTAGTTTAATAATTAGCTAAAGTAAATCATTGTGATTAATTTCTTGATCAGCAGGTCGACATCCAGCTCGAAGTATTAAGGGTTGAGACTTTGGAAAGGTTCCGGAGTATGAAGTCCAAAAGGCAGGGTTTGTTTGACAAGTCTTCGTTCAAACAAAAGTCAGCCAGACAAACTTGAATGACGAGAAGCAGGCAATAAGACATAATTCTGAATGTTATGTTTGAAAAACAATGATGCCGTGGTTAAGTCAAAGAGCAAAGGAATGGGAACTGGCAGCTAATATGCACAACTGCTAAACAGCTGGAGTAAACATCTGTAAAGCTCAGAACAATAGTACAAAGGCAGAATGGCATCAGACAAGTGGAACATGCACACAGGGAGTGATGACTAACTGAACACGCTAGATAGAGCTTGTTTCAGGGATTGTTACAGTAAAAAAGCCCTACCTTACAGCACACATTTTACACTTTTTCTAGATTCTGTCTGTGTTTTCTTATTCACACACCTATTCTATGCTTCTCAATCCATGCTGTTTAGTTTGCACTGGATTGCTTCCCTACCGTACAGTTACACAGCAATATAAAGAAGTAAACATGGAGTGAAAAAGTGAGGAAGGTGGGAGTGAAAAAGGAATAAAAAACTGGCATTCATGGGGAGATTACTCCCAGTGATCCAAACATGTGCCAGGTGTCAAAGAGCCATCTTGAGATTAAATATCTAGAAATGAAAAATAAAAATCAAGATGTAAAGTTTATGATTCAGTCATTGCAGTGACCTGATGTAATCTGAATGCTCCTACCTGAGAAAAAACATGGTAACCTGGAATTAACTAATCCTCCACTCCAGAAGACCAAACAGGTCATGTGTTTATACCATTTAGATACAACCTATAATGGTATCCTCCTACGAGCCACAGGAAGGAAATGAGACATGGACTCAGAGGTTGGTCTCAAGCCTTTCCTTTCAGAACTCCTGAAGGAGGTGAATGGTGGATGAATGGCTGGCACGTAATGCGTTCTTACATTCATGCACTTGTACTACAAGTTATAGATAAAGGGTACTATGCAATTATTACACATTTGGGTGTTTTTTTCCGGGCTGCCTTGACTACATGTTAATGTAACACTTGCTAGTTGGGTTGATGCAATTCTATCACTTGACCAATAAAATTAGTTCATTATGTGAACTAAACAACCATCGATGCTTTGGAAGTAATTTTACACTTCACATGAAGTCGCTTTGGCAACCACAAGTCAAATAGTATTCAAACTTGAATATGAGTCATCTATGCCCCCATGACCCACAGTCTCCATGAAAATCACACTTATTCATCACGACACATAAACAGCACGCATTCCAAAACTGACTGGTGAACGATGCACTTTACGATCATCTTTGCAAAGTCCTCAACATATTTTTCACAGCTTCAAGGAAACTTCCAATCATCTAAATGTTAAAAAAAAAAAAAAACAATGATCTGCTGTAGTTATTTGAAAAAGATGTAAGCCAGAAGTAATATCAACATTTCTAGATATTACTGAATCTACTTTGTCATTGAATGCCATATTTTTTCATCTTTTAACTAGATCAGTTCCCTTTGCTCATTTTTTTCTCTTTTATGACCGTGGGGTCACTGAACTCAGTTCACTGTGGGAGTGTGAACTGATTTTCATAAACCACCAACACAAATGAGATGCTGTGAAGAGAAATAACACAAGCAACTTTATTTGAATGAGTATGCAAGAAAGTAGGTGAGCTCCCCCGAAATCTGTGGTCACTAATTTTTCCTCACCCTGTCTCCCAGGTCTCAGCTCGAGTGAGAAGATGGCGGAGGTTTTTGCTTATGAGAGCTCAGAACTCGACTGGTGTGAAGATAACTACAAACACTCTGATCATGTGGTGGAGTACTTCAACACGGTAAGTTCCCCTCAGCAACATTTAGGCGGTTGCACAGCACCTGCCATTGTTGATGGAGTTATAGATTTATGTTTTGTCCCTGCAGATGAGCAGCTTTTTTTTCTTTATAATATCTCCCATCATGCTTTACCTGCTGCACCCTTATGCCAAAGAGAGGAGCTTGGCAATACATATGGTCTGGGTCATGATGATCTTTGTAGGTAAGCTGATCTTTCTCTTCAACTTGTTGATATCTGGCTAAGACTGACATACAGATATGCCATTCTCGTGTTTAGAGTGCAAGAAAGATGTGACATATGTATAATACACAGAATTGCTCATCGTATTGATGGTCACAATAATATATTTTAAAGAGGGCTTTAATAACGTGTGCCTAGGTGCTCCAAAGTTCATCCCAGATGTCACTGGGGGAGAGGCGGAGTTTAAGATTCCATGTTTTTTTTGGACAGTTAACTCACTGGAGACATTTCCATAGTGTCTCTCTGCTTTGATAAAATCGGACTAAATTACCTGTCAGGTACCATACCGATAACCTTTTAGCATGAAACTTACACCCTTAGTAATAATTACAACTGCAGCTCAACTGAAATTGATCATATTCGTGCAATAAATCCAGACGTAATGACTAATAACTTGTATTGTGGATCTATTAACTTGTGAGTAAAATTCTCCCCAGTAATAATATACTCCACTTACATTGCTGCATAAAAAAAAAGATCAGAAACATCTTTATTCTCTCTTGTCCAAATTGTAATGACAGTCGTAAGAATCTTGGAATAGGCAAGCATTAATCGTGCTACATTAACAGTAAGTTTTTCTCCCCTATGCAGGACTTTTCTCTGCATACTTCCACATGACTCTTAGTTTTGTCGGTCAGATGTTGGATGAGCTGTCGATCTTGTGGGTGTTGGCAGTGGGATATTCTATTTGGTTCCCTCGCAAACTCTTTCCATCTTTTATAAAAGACAGGTAAGTTTGCCTTGCAACAAAGGAACAGATGGTTGATCCTCTGGTCCACCGGCCAGTCCAAGCATTGTTTTCACAGCCTGGCGCTGTGAAACCATATCCATACCGACTAAAGAGTCTCTTCAATAAGCCGACAGGAATCATTGTCTAAAAGACACAATATGATGCTGACATCTTCACCTTTATGTGGAGGGCGTGTAAAAAACAGAACTCCGCCCAGCTGGTGTAAATATTTAACTAGATGTGAGCAGGTGATTAAAATTAAATGAACTCCTGATAATAATCCCAAAGAAATGTTCCAGCTGTTCTGGGTGATGGGTGTATACTCCTCAGCATACAGTTTGTGGCTCACTGATTGGTCCTACAAACGCAGACCCAGAGCTTCTGTTAAAAGTCTTAATATTTTATGTCGGGAGTCACAGAAATCTGGTAGACAGGAACATTTCCTGGACCCCTGTTTTTGCTCAACTTCTCATTTCATTATTCCTTAAACTAGATAATGGACATCTGAACCGTAACCTGAAATCTTTTGACTCTCTTAAAACAGATCTACATTTTCGAGGATCGTCCTGGCCATTACCGTCATCACATCAGTGTCATCGTTTATTAAGCCCACCGCCAACGCCTACGCCTTGAACTGCTTTGGCCTCCATTTGCTTTACACTCTTGTCATCGAGATGAGATGGTGAGAAATACGTCGTTCTGCGGGCAACGGTGATTGCACGCTGTGCAGCTTTGATTTCTAACCGCCTGCCAATCTCGTCTTCATCTTAGCTGCACCGACCAGAAGGCTCTGCATCTCGCCAAGCTGTCGGTGGCTCTGTGGGTGCTCGCCATCTCCTGCTGGATTAGCGACCGTTTTGGCTGCAGTTTTTGGCAGCAGTTAAACTTCTGCTACCTGCATGGCATCTGGTGAGTTCGTACCGGCCTGTGTTTAGTTTTTTTCAACATAAGTTTGAAGTTTTCTCTTTCCCAGTGATTACTTTTGTCTGTATTTTGGAATGATGTTATAATGTCCTTTCTGAACTCATCAGCAACATGTGTTTAGAATATTAATATGGATGTTTTCTCCCAAAAAGCCTAATCAAAATTCCCTCCGAAAAGCTTGTTTTTGGGTTTTAAACTCTTTTAACTCTTCTCCAGGCACATCCTGATCGTGATGGCTGTAGCTTACGCCAGCACACTTGTGGCTTACCTGGACGCCAGTTACGAAATCCCATACTCCCTACCTGGACTGCAGTTCTGGCCTTGTGATAAATGGGCTGTTGGATTTCCTCAGATTGTCCTGAAAGGCACTGACAAGACTCGCAAACGGTGCTAACCAGACAAGATGAATTTTTGTTTACCATTGTAAGTCTGTAAGTCTCAGGTTTTTTCATTCACAGAGGGAATTTCTGATTTGGAAAACATTTTTTTAAATCAAATGATAGGAGTGTTATCTAAGCATTTCAACTAGCATTTGGTTTTTCAGTCAAATTTGTCAAAGATAATTGTTTCAAGAATGAAGAAAACTTCTCTTTTCTTACTGTGAAAGAAGACTTGTTTCAAACATTATGAAAAACTTTTTTAGACAAACTGTAGTGGTTGGTTGGATGTGAATTTCTTTTTAGTTAAGGTTGTATGAAATACTCAGTGATTGGTGGGTTTTTTTTGCACTCAGTAGGCATCAGTTAGAACACTTTATTTGGAGAACTAGAAGCTTTTCCAAAAGGTGAATAGGTACATCTACAAACCATTCAGAATGGAACCACACAAAAAGCAGGTCTGAAGATACTCAAGCCGTGAACGATTACACAGCAGTTTGAGCAAACTCTAAACCGAGGACGTAATTACATGGACTGGGTCTAAGGAACACCAGTCCACATGGACACATGTTGTTGCTGCCTGAAATGTTGTTGAATGCTCTTCTGACATTGCTTTGACCTGGACAATCTGTGCTTGTGGAAGAAGAAGCTGTTTGATGCCAGTGATTTCTGTCCCGTGTGCCATGTCAAAAGGTCAAAAAGCTTGTCAAAAGAGGTGAAAGTACCTTGTAATTGCCTTACAGTTCCTACATTTCTTACTGATGGCATTAATGGGGCTCATTCTGTAGAAAAGAATGCTTTACAGTTTGTCTTTATGCTTTTTCAGAATTCAGATTGAAAATGTTGTATTTCAAACCATACGTCTACATTCAAACCAGTAAGTTCTTGTCTGGTTTAGATTGTCCCATGGAAATATTTTTATGACTACGACCCCTAAACAGGAAGCAGTGATTTAAATGGTTCAATATAAAGGCTGTAGACTACCTGAATGCCTAACAACATGATATAAATTGTGGGGACGGGGGTGTTGGACTTAAATACTGTGTCTATATTTTTATTTCTTTTTCTATATCTGTGTGATTTACATTTTATACGCTTTCCGTTTTGTACCAGCTGTAATAATTATTTATCCGTTTGAGGCACTGCAGAAAAAATACCAAAGCATATGACACGTTGACATTCATTTCGGGTATGGAAGCTGTGTAAAATGAACTCAGTTGTTTGTTTGTTTTAAATGAGCAGCAGAAGTAAAAGTTCACTAACACATCTGGTATTTCCCTTGTGTATGTGTCTGAGATAATAGTGTATTAGTTTTTACTTCCTCTGAAATATGACTCTATTTGACTGTCTCTTTCATGGGACTAACCCTAATCTTCAAAACTGCCTTTTTGAAGCTTTTCGTTGGATTTTTAGGTGTTTTCAGAATATTCAGGGGCATTGTTTCTGCACGCACGTGAACTTTCCTGAAGCTCATAATGAATGAAACAATAGATCCTACAGACCAGAACACTCACACACACACACAGTGAACTTGCATGTTCAGCAGTGACCCCCTGTGGTCACTGGGAAAACAATTCCCATAGCTGTACAATTACAGGTCAACAATGTTTTACTTGACCTTAGTTTTTCTGTCTTCTTATACCTATTGCTCAAATTTACAGGATAACATGAAAATATAAATTACATTTTGTCATGTTATTCTTACTAAATGGTGCTTCCTTCCCCCCCATATCTTATAAATCACGCTTCAGTTGTAACACACACACACAGAAGGAAACAAATTACTTCCGGTAGCAAGAGGCCATAAACTAAGACAATCCCATGATAACAGCAGGAGAAGGGCAATACTGGAGTCGTGTAAAAAAGAAAGAGCACTTTAGCCTTACTCAACTAGTGAATAGTGCTGAGATTTGACTTCAACATCTCAGGCTGGAAGATGTATTTTTGTTCAGAAAGAAACGATGGTGCTGCAAAGTAGAGGCAAAAAGACGCGACAGAGCTTTATTGGAAGCAGGTATTTGAAAAAATGGAAAACTGAAGGCATTTACTTCAAAAGATGATCTATACAAGAGGAAAACTTTTTATTTTCCTAAAGCAGTGATGAGGGTGATAGAGTAAACTGAAACCTGGATGGTAAGAAGTAAATCAGATTTATGAAAAGAAGTTCCTAATTCCAAAACTTGGTGAGTGTCAAAGAGTTGATAGAGCAAAATGCAAAAGATCTTTTGGTGAAATTATTTTAGCAATCAATCAATAAGCAATAAGTCTTAGATCATTTGATTTCAAGCAAACTGTGAAAATAAACTGTAGACAAGGGATGACAAAAAACACATTAGCACAATCCGACTGGAGTACAAATTGAAAAAGTGTGGTCTCACATCAGATTACTTAACTGTAGATGTGGCTTTTATTTGTTTTTTTTTCAAACTGTAACTCCTCATTTGGGGAACAATTGTAATAAAGGAGTTTTAGATGCTATGACTAATGATATCAAAATGTTTGATTTTTTTATCATTACAAGAAAACAGTAAAACTGCAGCAATATTTTTTTTTCCTGTGGGGTATGTATTGTGAGTATTTGAGTGAAACTGAAGGGGAAATTATTTTGGCAATTGTACTTGTACATTTTTTTCATATTATCTTTCTTATAATTAGGCACTTAGCAGCACTTTTAGACTGTCATAGAGAATGACATCTTTATTTTTCTGGTTCATACGTAATTTTGTGTTGCTAAATGTGACAAATACTCCATCTGTGAAGGAAACTATGACTACTAGGCAATCTTCAAGAATTTGGTTAATCATTTGCTCTATGGCACCACCTACAGATGTGGGATGCAGTACCACTTTCATCAAAACAAATCTCTGTGTGACCCCTGTCAATGGACAGGTATACACTATAGTTTGTTGTAACGTTAAAGGGATCACAAATTTGACATTCAATGCACACAAAAATGTCAAATAACTGTCAAGCAAAATGGTGTGGTGCTGGGTTTTATTTTTTTACTTAGCTGGACTTGTTTATTTTACATTGACCCATAGTGAGAGAACAGCCAGACTCTTGGAGACATTACTTGATTACACAAAATTTAACTAACAAATAGAAATATTTTACTTATGCATTTAAAAGGAACTGTTTGAGTATAGTTCTGTTTAGTTTTCATGTGCCATAAAAGTTGCAAAAAATGAAGAAAAAAGTTCAATCCGGATGAATCAATTATCATGCTGTGCATTTTATAATTGAAACTGAGCTGTAACCATTGGGACATATTTACTGTCACTCGAGAAAACCACCAGAAAATGCTTCAATTGCATTTGTAGCTCCGTACTTGACCCGCCCTCTCTAGACTCTAATTGGTTACTTTTAAGAGTGCTTGAATTTTGAGCTATTTGATTGGCTGAGAGAGCTTTCTGTTTTGGTTGCCTGCCAGCAGCCGTCTCGAAGGGGAGGGGAGCCGTCTGCCTTCCGCTTCTGGGCTGGATTGACACACAATGAGGAGCAGAGGCAGGGGAGACGCTCCACAAACGCCGCTGTAAATAAATACAAGATTCACTGAGGCCAGATAAACATGGAGAACCAGGTACAGTGTCTATTGTGTGTCCTTGTGGATTATCAACTTTTCATGGGGAAAACGATTGCAGGCACTCCGCTGGCAGGGCAGGAATGAATCCTCCTTTCTGCTAGCCAGAAAAAAAGCTCTGCTGCTATTGAACTCGTAGTTGTTTGGCTCTGGAGCTATGCTAGCTGGGCACTCATACATCGGTATTTACCGCTAGCTAGGCTCAGGGTACCACACCATTCACAGCACCGCTGCATAGCTATAGCCACACAAAGAAATCCACACCTGCTCTTTATTCTGACACGGTGCCTTTAAAAACAGATGCACACTATTAAACATGCCGACGATAGATTTGAACCGAGGCTTTATGTGGCTGAGCTAGGCTAATTTATCTACCAGGACAGTGTCGGCCGTTGGCTAAAGGCTAAGGAGTCGCTACAAGGCGCCGGGGAACAGATTTGTCCTCTCCAGGTTGGGCTGGTGAGGCGGGGTGTTGTCTCCACTGCCAGCGGCCTGAAACCTCAACATGACGGGATAGCAGAGCCAGGGATATTTGAACAGATAGCAGCGTGTTTGTGCATTTAGTCCACATCTGGTAATTGTTCACCACTCTCATGATTGTAGATTGTAAAATGCAGGCACCATGGATAAAAAGGTGTCACGAGCTGTGTGTCAAGTGTTAATTCAGTCATTATTGGCTGGTCGGCATTAAGCAATAAAACCCAGAATACAGGGCACAATTTATAGGGATGGTTTGTTATCCACGTTTGTACAAATGTGAACACTTAAGGTTTATGTGATCTTAAAGAGGTGCATAATTTACTTTGCAGAACACAGGAAAGTGGGTAAACCAAATTGCATATCGTCTCGCTGCAAAAGACACACAGTTTTGGACTTCCTAAAGGCCTGAGGTTATTCAAGGCTGTATTTCAGATGGTTAGGCCACACACGCATGGAAAGTGGTTGAGCCACTTTCTTAGAGCTGGTGTCTATTCAGCATTGGCCTCTTTGAAGTTTAACATCTGTGTAAGTGCGTGCAGAGGAAGTCCTCTGGTACAAGTTAAAAGCAAAGTGTTGTTTTGTTGCGTCCCATCTTTATTACATATGAATGATTTTTCATTGCATCCTTATTACAGAAAGACTCATTAAACAGAGCTGTTAGTTTCGTTTCTTGGGTGTCTGTCACAATGACTCGAACTGATTGTGATTATTTTCCATGCAGATTAGAATTATTCACATGGATCTGCTTTTAGGAAGTGTTCTTCTTCCAACGCGACATAAGGGTCACTTTCCACCATTTCAGCCCTTTTCTTTCTGCAAAATGATTGCACTAATCGTTTATCTTAAAGTGCTTAACCTCAAATACCACTGACTTCGTTCTAGCGAGTATCTATTGGCATTAATATCAAGGATTGAGTCACAAGTGTGTAGCATCTCTGTGGGTCTATGTTTATTTGAACCCTTTTGAAAAAGCATAACACTGTACCTTTCAGGAAACAGTCAATCGATTCTGCTGCAAATCGGTGTCAAGGTCAAAATTCTAAGTCTTAAGCTCAAGATAAATGGAAAAAATGCTAATCAATTCAGTAGTCGCGAAGAGTTTTGTGATAGTTCACGGTTACATTTGTCACATTGGATGCACAGTTGCCATTTGACTGCAGCACAAAGCTATTTGTAAAAAAAAAAAAAAAAGGGGTTGCTTTTGTTTAAAGGCTGCAATTTGCTGTCCTGTAGAAGTAGCTTTTTGCTTGCAGGCAACTGATCATGCCCGGCTTCACTGATGCAAATAAACCCAAAAGTTGTTGCATGGCACAGTATAAAGTTTGAATTGTTCTGTCAAATGCAAAAGAGCTAAGTCTGTATGTCCAGCTTTCAGAACTTTGCGACGCCGCTGGCTGGTTGGCAGCTTTATTAGTCAAACTGCTTCGTGCGGGGACACTTAAGAAGGTCCAGGACTTTGTGCGTGAACACCGAGAACTCCTCTGTTTCTTGTTGTGTTCAGATCAGTGTGTATGTTTCTGCTGTTGGGATGACGGGATGAGTCAGCTTTCCAAAACTATTTCCACTATTTGTTTTTTCGGGCGCTGCATAAAGGCTATCTGTAATGTACCAGTGACTCAGGGATTGAACATTTCCCAAAACAAATAACTGTTGCTGTGTTTTTTCGTGGGATGTTGTAGATGGCTATTGTTGTGTATAATGCGAGATTATAGTTCACCCAAACACAACTTTCGTTCTAAATTTGCTGTTTGTGTCTTCCTAGGAAAACTTGTTTTGAAATGATTTGATTAGCTGGATGAGATTAAGTGGTGTTATTTGGCATCTGGGAATTCATTGTTTTCACTGGACTTAGTATGTCTGCCAAAATTTGTATTTCCCTTCAATTGGAGAATGTGTGTGATGGAAAAAGAGCTTGGTCAAGCACACATAATTTGCATCTTTTGCTTTATTTTAATTAGTGTCCTGGTCATTTCCTTTAAAAGAAGTTTATTAATGTCGCTGTTTGTTGTGTTTAAATGAAACCCTCAAACTTTTGAAGAGTCTTTTGTGTTTTGTTTTTTTAAAGGTAAATGCCCCTAAGTTTTTAAGCTAGATCTAATGTTCAGTCTTTCTCATTCCAAATGTTCCTTTTTTCCTGGATGCCTGTTTTTACACTTTGCCACATGAAGTGGAAATTTCTGTTTCTCTGCATTTGTTGTGAATATTTTCTACCCATTTTTCTCAGCTCATAAAATGTCAGAATTGCCTTTTATTGCTTTATTAATTGTAATTTGTTATCCTTTCGTTTTTGTATGGGGTGAAATGTGACATACATAGATTTAACTCCTGGAACACATACTTAATTTATTCATCAGATTAACTTAATTGATTATTAGATTTACTCATTTGATTAGACAAATCTACATTCAAAGCGTCAAATACATGAAAATAGTTTATTGTGCTTTGCTTAAAAACGCCTGACGTTTGCTGACATTGAAATAGTTTCTCATTAATTTGGGGCTAATGGGCTAAACTTATCACCCTCATATTGCCTTCTAGGCTCTTATTTCTTTGTAGTTGACAGATGTTCTATATAGGGATTAAGCTAATTGATTTCACCCCTCCCATAATCAATTAACGAGTCTGTAATTTTACAAATCAATCCCTAAAATGTTGAAAATGTTTTTATTCAAATGGATTTCCGTTTTTAATGTACACCCTCATGTGAACAAAACAGTTAACGAATGAACGTTTCTAGCCCTAAATAACTTTAGTTAATTATTCTTAGAGTAATAGCCCTAAGTTTCTATTTTCCTTTAGACAGTTGATTGTTGACCAGTTGGAGTCTTCTGTTTTCATGCTTTGAGCCAAATATCTCCTCTTGTTTCTGTTGTGGAATCGCAGCCTTCCTCTTTGGCTTGTTGTCATTCTGATTTTTCTGTTCTACTTATCTGATTTTGCCGACTCCTTTGGGGGGGAGGGGGTGCTGGTGATCACTGTGAGTCTCTGGCTGCTCGCTGTGGGTGTGGTAGAGTCTGGAGTTTAAGGGCATTACAGTCACAGAATGGCCAGGCAGACTGCCAGGCAGGGAGGTGTGCATGTGTGTGTGTGTTTGTGTGTGTGTCTGAGTGAGTGAGTGAACTGGAGAGTGCCAGACCAGCTCATCTCAGTCATGTCCTTTTTAATCCCCTCCACTCAGTCCCAGCTCATGAGCTCCTTGAGGCTGGAGCCAAATCTCCACATTCTTCAGTCTTTGCCTGGGCATAAAGTGTCTTTCTGCCCCCACTTGCCACCACCCCTTGTTCCCCTTCCACACTCTGTCTCCATGGCCTCTTTTCTTTCACGGCCCAGTCACCACCCGCACAGTGTCATTTGCGTGACCTGCCGCTGCTATCATTGTTCTTTGTAGACCGAAGAAGTCCATTAATACGATTCTCTCCTGCACCAATCTTTTCAGATTGGCTGCTAATCACTGTCACTTTACCGGTAGCATCCCCACACCTGTCCTGCTCGGTGCCTCCGCGGGCCCTCTCCTCCTCACTGTTTCATTTCCAGCCTTTGGCTAAAGATTCAAAGGTGTTATTCAAGGTTGAACTGATAAATACTGTCCCCTTGGATTAATCTTACCTCGGGCTTTGCTTATGTTTATTTCATAAGATGCTTCAGTTTACACGGGGGTGCTTTTTCTGTAATTCATCACTGCCAGGAACCAGGATTAATTCACCTGCTCAGGCTGCAAATAATTATCATGATCGATCTGTTTGATCGACTCTAGTAATCAGTCAGTCTTTATGATCTTTAAGGTAACAGAAGACTTTCGAAGTGAGCAGCTTACAGACAGTGGTGTCTTGAAAATTTTTGCACAAGGCAGAAATTAAAAAGAAACAGTTGTACATTTTCTCCATTTCAAGAGACATAAATGGTCAAATGTTAATGCAATTTTTGAATAAAACAGTGGCTTAAACTACAGTGTTTAAAAATATATCTAGAACTTAAGGCATTTATATGTTAACATTGATCTCCTTTTAGAACAAAACATAGATTCTTCTTGTTTGTCTATCCTGTGTTTTAAGCGTGTTTCCATGTCTGTTTCAGAGTGAATGTAATGTGCCGTATTTCATGGGTTTCTCGTTGTTCTTTTCAGTGCACGGTGCAGGTGAAGCTGGAGTTGGGCCACCGAGCACAGCTGAGGAAGAAAGTCACATCAGAGGGCTTCACCCACGACTGGATGGTGTTTGTCCGAGGGCCAGAGACGGGTGACATCCAGCACTTTGTAGAGAAGGTTGTCTTCCGCCTCCATGAGAGCTTCCCCAAACCCAAGAGAGGTAGGACTGAGAAGGGACAAAGTGTGAGGTTAAACTCAAATTCCTGCTCTCTGTAAAAAATACAAATCGGCACATTAGAAAAAGACTGCTGCTTTTAGGAATCCAGATGAATGTCGTATAGAATTCCTTTAGCAAGTATTGCCAGTGACAGTTGTGTGTCTGTCTGCAGTATGCAAGGAGCCTCCATACAAAGTAGAGGAATCTGGCTACGCAGGCTTCCTCATGCCTATTGAAGTGTACTTCAAGAACAAGGTGAGAACACCTGGGCACAGGTAAAATAACTGGGAATGTTTTATAAATGGGTATGTTAAAGCAAACTAGACAAAACAAAAAAGGCCCCTTTTGTCATGATGTTGAGATAAGGAATCGACTTCCTCTGTGCTCATCATTTTTCTTTTGAAAGCTGCATGACATCTTCAATGGGCATGGAAATTATACAAGACAGGCCAAACGTCAGTAACCTGATCAAGAACCACTGTTTACAAGTTTTCTGCTCTGATGTTTTTTTTATTTGTTAGAAAGTCATGCTGATTTCCAAACAGGCCTGTGTGTTGCTGTGAGCCTTTCACACCTCAGTCTAAAATGACACCGGACTCATAAGCAAAAGAGGAATAGACAAAGTTGAAGAAAAGGCAAACGAGAAGAAAACAAACACCCCTCTAAAGGCAGAGATTATTTCAGAAATACACCCGGGAGAATCTGGGAGTTTGTTGGGAAACCACAGGCAGTTGTTTCTGCAGAAATGGCTGTTACAGATTATGAATGGGGTCACGATCATTGAGCACATGATCTGGCATGCTTTGCGCATGGAAATACCTCTATTCTGAAACAGGGCTTCAGAATACATTTATGTGCTCACAGGAATCCAGGTTATAAGGAGAAATTAGGTTTTGCCATTAGAAATAGACCGTTTAATTCATTCACTGAGAAAGGAAAGTGGGTTTCCCTTTACTTAATATGCTGAAAATCAGGTTATTGTCCAAACTAGAGGTAATTAGTTTAGTTAAGTGAACATAAACGCAGTGATTGCTTTAAACTCCCAATACACTTGTATATTTGAACAATGTTTCAGGAAACACATGACATATATACTGCTTATTACACAAGGTATTTGTTCTTGGTAAACCAGAGAGCTTGTTTATGTAACTAAAACATTTCTCAGATATAAAGATAATTACCCTTTTGTCCATAATGATGAATGAAGGGATGAGTAAGGAACCCCAGTACTTAAGATAAGGGCAATGCTTTTTGGATGAGTACATTATCCTCCCCTGCAGTTCCTTATAATACTGAACACGTTGATTGTATCTACAAAAAAAACATACACACTATAAATTTAACCTAACTTGTACACCATTGACAGATCTGTCAGAGAGATATGGAAAAACAACTATATCAACCATTCATCTGTTGTCACACTTGCGTACATTCTTTATAAGATCTTTCAAGAGTGTCTTAATGCATTCCCCTCAGCCTTTATTGTTCCTCCACTCCACTGCTCCACAGCTTCCCTCAGGAATGTTTCTTATCAGTGTGCTGACTCCAGCTATGTCTCTGTTTTATTGACCTGGTTGATAGTTCATTCATTCGACTTTTGTCTGTTGGGAAATGTGCAGGCGCTGGGAGCCGCGTCTGCAAAGCAGAGGAATAAACACACGTTAGCCTGTGTGACACAAAACTGTGAGAGGACAGTTAAAACTGCCTTAATTCTGTTCCCTTTCCACAGGAGGAGCCAAAAAGGGTTTGTTTTAACTATGACCTGTTCCTTAACTTGGAGGGCAACCCACCTGTTAACCACCTGCGCTGTGAGAAGCTCACCTTCAACAACCCCACCAAAGAATTCAGGAGAAAGCTGATTAAAGCTGGAGGGGTGAGGCTGCTGGACACACCGGCTCAATGCCGGGGTGACTGAAAACTAAACAACTGATTAAAGTTCTGGGCATGCACCCGTTTTTAATGTTTAAACAATCTGGGCTCCGTGTCAGCCTTGAAGTTTTGTTATGTTGTTGTACTTGACTCCTCACAATTAGACTTACTGTGCAAACACTGTCACTCCTGTAGAGTTGAACGCTCTGTAATGATGAGCAGGCTATCTGAAGAAACAAAGTCCAAATATTAAAGTCAGGAATGGCACCAGTATTTTCCCCCTGCGCTTGTCACATAAAAAGTGTAAATAGCCGACATTTTGCTTAGTGTTTGTCATTTAGTTGCACCAACACTTTGACGGTGACAGGTACATTACCAATGGAATTTCTGATCATCGATAATCTATTGTTTTTTTTTTTATTTTTAATCAAATGTAACACTTAATGGTGTCTAACAGTGATTGCTCAGTGCTCTGTCCATCCAAACAGGCTGCAAATTAGCGCTTTGTGGGTAGACATGTCGTATTGTTGATGGAGAAACACGGTAACTCTTGTCTTTAATTCCAGATACTGGTGGTCCCCGAGGGCGCTGAGGCTGTTTCGAGGCCCAGTCCGGATTACCCCATGCTCCCCACCATCCCCCTCTCTGCCTTCTCAGACCCCAAGAAGACCAAGACCTCCCACGTATCAAAGGTTAGAACAAAATCTACAATTTTTGCCTGCTGCATTCTGCTCAACGTCCTCACCCTGTTTGAGAATTTATTCTTAAAGCGTGTCTCCTTTATTGATCCCGAGGGTGACTTTCTATCTTTCTCTTTTTTGTGGAAAACAGCATGAAGAAGCTGATTCAAGCTTGTAATCGTTACCGGCTGTTTCTGTGCACGTCAATGCAGAATTTGCTCAGTCTGCCTGTCTCCCGGGGGGGGGTGGTGGTAAATGAAGAAAACAGGAAACCTTGTCCTATTATATTATTGGACTGGAATCCCAGAGTTTTAACCTGATAAGACCTTTACTTTTACATTTATATTTATTTATTTGTATTTATTTCTGTAATCCATTACAGTCTGACTCCTCACAGTTTACCACACAATGTTGGTTAATCTGAATTTGTGATCTTGACAAGAAGCTGCCTTTCCTCCCAACTAAATATCCTCTTTCATTCGAATGCACGTTTTTTTTTCATTTTTAAAACTAAATTAGAGTTCAGTTTGCTGCCAGAAAATATGCAAACCACCCACATGACTGAGGAGTTTTTGCTCATTTATCCTTTTTTATTTATCCATTTAATTACACTCATCAGCATTGGCAAGGTGTGAATTTGATCTAATGTGGTTCAAGCAACACAGCCTAAGTAGCACATTTTTTTCCTCATTCACTCTCCATCTGTGCAGTGGCTCAGAGTACTGAGAGCTGCTCTGCATCGCTCTTTATCTGCCATTACTTTTTTGCTGTTTGTGGTTGCCTTGCTCACACGGCTGGCCCACCACTTTGATTTAGAAATCCAATTTCTACTCAGCTGTCAGATATTTCTCTGAAATTCTGCATGGTGACATCAAAGATGTGTTTAAGTGATAGGGGGTGGAGATAGTGGAACGTTTTGTAGATGAAGACATGTTTTAGCGTTCACCAAAGAAGGTCATGTGTCGTACACCTAACAGTCTCACAGCAGATGGCACAAAGACATCGGTGAAGAAAGTGCCCTTGCCATAGATATAAGATAACATTTTCCGTTAGTTTGTCAAAGCTTAGCTCTTTTCTGTGTTATAGACTAGCTACTACTAAGCTTAAACTAGGAAGGTAAGCAGCAGTATTTTCGTCAATTTCAATCTTTTATTGGCATTTTTTACACTATTGGTTGCTGGAGCGTGACCGTGATCTCATGCTAATGTGGTATTGTTGGTAGTTTGGAGAGACATTGATGATAAATCTAGTTGGGTGAAACATCCAGTTCTATTGCACTGAAAAGATTGCATGTGCATTCTTTCTTTGTGCATCGCCTGTTGAACCATTGCTGTATGTATCTAGTGTTTAGTCTCACTACATGATGAGAACATTACATTACAACACTGTGAGTTAGTTGTTTCTGCCAAACAGTTGTTTTTCCATTTTCACTTCTGTCTGCATTTTTTTGCGGTTAGTCTAGGAGGCAATTGTTATTTAGGTTCTTATTGGCTATAATGGTTAATTATGTGATTAAAAAAAAAACCCATAACTTTTTACAAACAATCCTGTCAGGGCCTCACCACGTTATTCCAATTTGTGGCCTTTGGGATGACAGTGTTGTTGACAGTCCAGTGTTTTCTCCCTCTCTTTAGGAACCCAGTAAAGAAGGAAGTGGTGGCAGCAGCAAAGGACCCAAGCCACACAAGCTGACCAAGGAGCACCGTGAACGGCCACGAAAAGACTCGGAGAGCAAAGCCACGTCGAAAGGAGACGACAGAGATGGAAGCAGCAAGAGTGGCCGTGATCCATCCTCTTCCTCATCGTCGTCTTCAAAAAAGCCTTCGGAGATCAAAGTGAAGGATGAAGTTAAAGTCCTGCCCAAGGCGGCCTTCAAAGAGCCAAAGCTCACCCTGAAGGAGTCAAAGATGGAGGGCATGTCTCCCAAGGGAGGGGGGGCGGGGAGTGGAGGGGGAGGTGGGGGTGGTGGGGGTGGGCCGGCGGAGTCCAAAGCTCCAGGGAAACGACCCTTTACGGTGGATTCCCCCAAACTCAGCACTAAGAAGCTGAAGAAAGGCAGCTCCGAGGGGCTCAAGGCGCCGACAGGCGGGCCCTTCACAGGAACCTCTCCCCGGGTGTCCTCCTCCTCTGCAGCCAGCCAGTCCTACGCTGAGAAGAAACCCCCCAAGGAGAAAGGCCGCTGGGCCAAAAGCAAAAACGAAACACAGGAGCTAAAGGAGCACAAGAAACTTCCAGACTCAGAGGAGTCAAATTCTGAGGACGAAGCATCGTCAAAGTCGGAGGTAAGAGGAGGAGATGCAGGCGCTCTGCTGAGGGAGCAGGAGACACCCAGCGCATCATCTGCGATCTTTTAACTTCACATAGAGCTTTTTCTTTGTAGATTTGACATATTTTTTCCATCAACGTTTTTGTTCATATCTTCAAATTTTTGACTGAATTTTTGTGAGAAAACAAAAACATTCAGTAATTTAGTATTTCCTTATTTATTGTCACTAAATCTTAGTATTAGATCATCCAGTAGAAGCATGAATGTGATGATGGTGTCATTTATAAGCCACCCTGACTTTAAAAGAATGCATTTATTGAGAATTTGTCCAACAGCTGCATGTCGTCTTCTTTTATAGCAGTCTGCTCCTTCCAGTGCCTCCAACTCCAGCTCCAGTTCTGACTCCAGTTCAGACTCAGACTTTGAGCCTGTACAGAAACAAGGACAAGGTACAGAGGAGTCAAAATAACACTTTCTGAGATCCTTTTTTTAATTTAAAAAAGAAGTCATATTGAGAGAATTTTCAAAAAGTAAAAACGTATGCAAATCCGCGCTCTTCCTCAGGGCCCCTGCGATCCATGGTGGAGGAGATTCAGTCGGAGGAGTCAGACGATGATGACAGCAGCTCAGAGGAAGAAACGCCAATCAAAACTAACCCGCCCAATCGCGACTCGCGGTAAGTCTGCCACTATTTATATTTGATTTTTTATGGCTTTTTATGATTGGAATTTAATTTTAGCTTTCTTAACTGGACTATCAAAGGAAACTATAACATCGGAGGTACCACACTAAGCTATCAGTCTATGTTTGAAAGACCTTTGACCTCGCCCTGTACCCCTGCCAGACTCAGCCTGGACAGCGAGAGTGAGAGCAGCGATGGCTCGCACCGCCCTGGTCGAGACCCTGCCCCGCCCCCACAGAAACACAGCTCCTCTAATAACAAAGTGAGTCACACGCTCCCCAGTTTGCTGCATGCCTCTGCTCACATGTCGACAGGAACAATTCAAGTAGAAATAGCAGAAATTTGGGGGCTAGAACTGTACAGTGGAATTTGGAGCATGGCAGCTGAAAAGAAGTAGTGGCTACAGCAGATGCCAGCACCTACAGGAATCACTGGGATAACCCAAGAAACTATGTTGCCATTCTAAAGCTGTAAGCATGTTGAAAGCACAGAAAGGGAAAACAGGACCTTTGCAATACCCCTTCATGGGACCTTGTGATTCATTTAGTTTACTTGAGAATCACTCTCTGCTTCAAAGATGCTCTTGTTTTTTATGTACGTATATTATACGTGCACCAGTGACAGTTTTGGTCATTTATCTGGTGGAGCAGTGGGGAAGGCCAGATTTCCATAGATCCACAGCCAGTGAACGATGAAGAAGAGGTTCAATCATAACCCAAAAAATTTCAAAGGACTGAGAAGTTTGTGAAGTTGTACATTTTGAAGAAAAATCAAAGCGATGAGTTGGATTTTTAAGTGCTGAAATGTAAGTGTGTCTGAGGTAAAAAGACATAAAAGTAGTGATTCACTGACTGTAAAATGCATTTGGATTTCAGCAGGATGTCTGCAGATTTGTTACCGTTTTTACTAGTTTTTATTCACCTTCACAAACAAAAAACTCATGCTTCCTTTTACTCTTGTGGTTGGCTTTGTCAGTTTTTGCTAGCATCGCTCCTGCTGCTGCCTTCCTTGCTTTTCATCTTTTTTTTGCTTTCTCTCTGTCTGTCGCAGGTGGTCAGAAAGAGTCCAGACTCCTCGTTTCGCTCAGAGAAGGTGATGAAGAAGGGATACGACAAGGTAGGAAGGGTAAATCAAACCTTTTCTGCTTAAACCTTCACACATTTTATTGGCTGTACTATTGAGTCTAACATGTTTGGTGATCAGTGTATTTATCCAGCTGTGCAGACAAATTCTGGTTTAAACTCCAGAGAAGAAACATCTTCAGTAGTTTTTGTTAAAAGAAGGCACCACCTCCATCAGATTTTACAATAAGACATATGGTGACTTTTGGAAAGTTTAGATTTTCTCATGTGATCCTAAATTAATCAGCTTGATTTGGCACGCAGATTTGTAGAAATGTTGAATAACAATAATACAACTCGAATGTTACATCTATAAATATTTTCTGCGTAATAGAGAGGTTTTTTTTTTGTTAGAAGCACCCGGTAACTGTCTGACCTCAGAATTTTGATGGACCTCGGTGGAGGCATCTGTAACATCTGTAACAGGTCTCACACGTTTTACTTTGAAGGTAGACTCGCCCTCTTAAGTTATTTAAGCCCGTCAATGAGCATATAATTAGTTTAGCCTCTGGGTTTGGCTGCCCCCGCAGGACACAAAGTACAAACGAAAAGTGCGAGGGGCTCGGGGCAGATCTGGTAAACAATGTGGATTTACATGAGTCAGTTTCGTCTCTTGCTGAGCAGCAGCTGTTCACGGTAGTTAAGATCCAGTTGCAAGAGCAGACACTGAGAAGCAGTCCTCCGACCGAGCGCATGAGTGTGGAATTAGCCACTATCAACACAGGCCTGTGTGACCCAGACATGGGAACCGTCCTGCTAACACATGATCCGGAGGCAGGGAGGGGCTCCTCCTGTTCGAGCCCTGGAAAGACAGGAGTCAACGCTGGCCTCCCTGGGTCTGGCCACTTCCAGACTTGTTTGACAACAAATGGGGAATGTGGAACACCCTGAGCTAACAAAGGAAAAAACTAGACCAAGTCGGGCATCTCTGTTTCCAATCCTTTGAGGCCTGATCGGCACAAAGGTGTGACTCCACCAAAGAGAGCTCGCAGTTTAAGGGTGCTCAGCCTCCACCATAAAGCCGAGATATTTCTCACCTCATTGGTCATTGCATCAGAAGATGGTGCCTCAGAAACGGTGGGGTTCAGGTGGGACAGTGGTGTCCCGCCACCACAGGAATAGCGTCAGTAAAGTCGAACAGGAAATACAATCTGAATAGATGACCATCACTGCAATGGGTTACCCACCTGATTTAAAAAAATGTATATATATATATATATATATATCAAGGAACTTTTACAGTAGTTTGACCTTCCAGGGCGTTGAGCGGTCGAACAGATGTGTGTTGACAGACTGGGTCGTACACTCCTCTAGAAGCTGCTTAGGTGCACAGTGTTGAGACTTAGCTGGACAGCAAGCTGGAAACATTTGTGTTAGAATACCGGGGCCAGTGAGCAGCCTATAGAGAAAGATAAGGAGCATGCACCCGGACGGTAATGTCAGGGACATGCCCCAAAGCAGGAAATGACGAATTATGGCCCTACAGTCCACCCAAACCACAGGAAGAATGGTTCGCTAAAGGTCAAACGTGAAGTCAAGATTGCCCGAGAACAAATGTGAAAAGCCTTGTCCTATTCATTCATTCATTTCTAGGTTCATAAGTTAGAGAACAGTTGATCCATTCAATTTGGACTTCTTTTCCATCCACATTTAATCGTTGCTCTGTCACCCTCTGCTTGTCCCTCGCCCCCCTTGCAGGCCTACACAGAGGAGCTGGTGGACCTCCACCGCCGGCTAATGGCGCTGAGGGAGCGAAACGTCCTGCAGCAGGTCAGTGCTCGCCGCTTTTTATGTGCTGGCGAACATCACAGGAGACAGTAGTTTGTTGTAGAATTGTCTCTCGTGAGTGTTTTGGCCGTGTTTCACTTGTCGTACGACTGGACAACCCAGAAAGCTATTTACCCAGAACGCAGCGCTTAGAGTGATTTTATCCTTCCTCCTCTCCGTCAGATTGTCAACCTGATCGAAGAGACTGGACACTTCAATGTGACAAACACCACCTTTGACTTTGACCTCTTTTCACTGGACGAGTCCACTGTTCGCAAACTACAGAGCTACCTGGAGGCCACAGCCACGTGACAGGAGGCGGAGGCCGGCATGTGGACGTCCGCGGCGGGGGTGGCCTCGCCATTCCGGCTGCTCTCCCAGGAGACCAGCAGCCACACGCGCCGCAGCCTTTTCACATGCCCGACTGCAGCGTTGATCAACTACCACATGAACAAACGCAAGCACACAACACCACCCTCACATGACACTGGGGAGAAACCTGGAGGCGTGGGAGGGAACACTGAAGCAGCCCCACTCCGTCGACAGTCAGGATTTTCACTACACATCTCTTCTCTTGAGCCTGTGCAGAGCTGTGGAATTCACCCCCCGCCCCCCTCATTCGTCCTCCTGCACTCATATTGCTCCCGCCTTTGCAAACCTAATACTTTCCCTCCTCCCCCTTTTCCTCCCCCTCCAAATCCACACTCCTTACTTGGCAGAACACTCCAGTTCCCTCCCCCTGTTGTCAGCTGGAGCTCATTTCTCTCCCAGCATTCTCCAGTGCTGTGTGTGAGTGTGTCGGTGTGTGTGTCGGTGCGTGTGTGTGTGAATTGTACGTGCACACGTGCGTGTGCGAGCACTGCTGAGGTTAAAGAGTAGATGTTGTCTTTGTGGTTACTGACTTCTCTTTGTGAAACTCGAGCATAAACAGCCGGTTCCGTTCCCTCCTCAAACACTTAGACATGCCAACAGATTCACATTTAGGTCGCACTTTACTCTGTAGCCCCCTTTTTAGCATTAAAAGTTGGTAAACAAACACTGACTGAATGGCTTAGAACACACTTAAATACTGTAAGCAGAAGTCTAATTTGTGTCATTTGAGTTTAGACCAGATGCTAAAAGCTCCTTTAAGGTTGGGAAATCCTAAAAGAGGAGGATTTTTGCCAGCAGAAAATGGCTTTTGTCTCTTTTAAAACGGCTCATCACGTGTGACAGTGTTAAGATTCTGCTGGTCTGTCTGGAGAAAAGACCGCAGGACTCACTTAAATCTGCTCCCTTTTGTAGAAGTTTAAGACTTTACACGAATCTGCCGCCGGTCAATAAAAGACCAAACGTGCTTTGATGGTGATTAACTCACTGCTACAATCGGACCCTTAAAGCAACGCCCTGCAGGGGCTCCCCATTAGCCGAGAGATTCTACATGATGCAAACATTTGTTAGTCATTCAGTATGAGAAAACTATCTTTTTTCAAGACATTTTTGTAAAAAATATGCACTTTCACAAAAGATGCACGACAAATAGAAAAAAGAGGGTTGATGTGACATTGTTTAAAAAGACAATGCAACTAAATGTATTTGACCAGAAAAAACTAGCAAGTACATTTTAGTGTGTTATAAGCCACTTTTTGAATATTGTTGTGTTTTCAATGCTGAAAGGGGGGGGGTGTGAAGTGTAGTATTTCCCTAGTTTTGCATCGCCGATCTCTCCGCTTCACACTGGTCATGTAGACACTGACATGTGAGGCTGAGGTTTTTCTGTTGTCTGAACATCTGAAAAAAAAAAAAAACTGTTCTGTTGAGTTTCCCCTCTGCTTCCTCACACTGAAAGCTGAGCCTTGACCTCCTACCAACCAGCCTCCCCCCCCTGACTCTTTCTCCCTCCCTCCCAGAAAAGGCCCCTTACCCCCCCCTTTACTCCCCATAATGGCGTGCATGAAAGGGCTCGACTGCTCGCGGCCAGAGCGGTGGCGGCTCACTCCTGAATTGCCTTCTAGGTGGTGGGTTGGTCGGGTTGGGCTGGGGGGGGGGGGGGGGGTTTAGAAATTAAAAAAAAAAAAAAAAAAAAAACAAAAAAAAAAAAAAAACATTTTTAAAAAGCCGTGAAAAAGTAGCCATACTTGTTTCCCAGAATCCAAAAATGACAAAGTAAATAGGGGCCACGCTTTTTTACATTTTATTTTTCTACAAGTGCATTTGTGTATTTATTCCCAGATTGCAGTTGAATATGACCTGTGAGCTATGAATGTATACTGCTTTTACTTTTCTACGGCTAGCGACAGCCCCACTCTAGTGCCTTTTTCCTGCATTTCGCAGCGTGAGGGGGGGGTGTGCGCTCTGTTAGTCACGCCCGCACCGCCCCCCCCCCCTTCAATACCCCCCTCGGGGAAACAAGTGTTAATTGGGATGCCTGAATATACAGTATTGTCTTAAAGCTTCCATCCCCGCTTCTCCCTTCCCAGTGTCTTTCAAGTGTGCGTTTATCTGTAATATCTTTTATCGCAAGCCTGCTAGACGGTGATTTTTTTTTCTTTCCCCCATCTTAGGTGGTCACGTTTTTATGTTCTTGCTCTCTGAGATTAGGTTTAGTGTTTTTTAAGAGGAGGCGCCAGATGACTGTGGTAGTTTCTCACTTTAATTAGCTCTAGTAACAGCCGTGCCAGCTGTGTTTTGGCTTTGTGCGTTTTGTGAGAGCGCCGTTGTTGAAAAAAGCCCGGGCCCCCCCCCCCCCCCCCCCCCCCCTTGAAGCAGTTTGAAGTATTTGAACTAATGGTGGAGCGTTTGATACCAGGATGCCAAGCACTTACGCAGCAACAATAATGGACATGCAGGCAGAAAAAGAAGCAAAGCAAAACACTTTAGTTTGCTCCCTAAAAGTTGGAAACGTGCTCCACAGGGCCTGAACTGAGAAGTTGGTTTGTTTGGGGGTTTAACTTTTACCGACCAGTCAAACAAAACTGGCTCACATAAAACCTATCAGCCAATCGGGGAGGCGTATTGGTCACCATAGGCACACACAGCTTTGCACATCGGTAGATTCACTTTTCTTTACGTGATTAGCATATCAGGCAAATGATTCGTAACCCAGTTATCACCTGTTGTGTTTTTCTTTCAGTGTTGTTTTATCACAAGATTGCAGCCTAATGTACTAAAACCCAAAACAAATAGGAAAGAAACCTGTGGGTTCTCCCTGGTGGACCCGGAGCTCGGTTACACGAGCCTTTGCCTTTTTGTACATATTCTGGAAAGGAAGGTGAGCATTGGAGTCGAAGTCCTTCTGCTCCCTGCAACTCTCTCTGGGGGGGGGGATTCCTGAGCATCTCTGCCGCCCGTAAACCCGGGATAGTGTCAGGTGATGCAGCAGAAAACAGGAACACGTTGGAATAGAGAGCATTGCTGGAAATGCTGGAGACGTGTGGTGTAACTGATGGTTAGCTGTCTGGCAGGAGGAACAGAACAATGTGGGAACGAGAGCAGCTTACCAAAAGTTTGTGGCCGTTTCTGAATGCACTGAGGAGCGTTTAGATGCTGGATGTGCTGGTCTGGCTCGTAGAAGCTCTGCTTCATAAGATTCTGGTCTGAGTAACCAGGGATTAAGTAAGCATTTTATTTTCTAGCATCATGTAATTGTGCAGAGTGTTTCAAAACTTCTATTAGTCGTCCCTTTTCTTGATTCTTGCTGTCGTATAACTGGTTGTTACGCAGAGCTAACCCCGGCCGCTGAACTATTCTAAAGTCCACACCAAAACCGGACGCTTTCTTTTGCCCCTCCATCCACTCTCCCCACAGTGCAGCCTCAGAGGTTTTGCTCTGTCTGCTGACCAACGAACAGAGAAGGGCAGGAAAGAGCTCCAGAGGCCCGTCGTCAGGCCCTCCAGACCCCGTCCCACTTCCTCTCTCTGGCCCTAAGCATCCGTTTTGCAGAGGTGCGACGCCTCTGTTCTTTTGGGGGTCGAGGATTCCCGTTCATTTAGCCTTTTGAATCGCACAAAGCTCCAGCAGAAGGTTTGAATTAACACTAAAAAAGAGCAAGACCAAGTATAGGGCCAGAGGGAGGGTTGGGATTGGGCCTGTTATCGTCTTTATATTATTCAATTTTTTTTCTTTTATTTTGGGGATTTAGAGCACAGCGAGCTCTATAGCCATCAGATCTGAAGGACTGGTTCAGCAAGGCACCAATTATTTTTACATGATCACTCCAGCTCAGAGGGACTTAGAAGAACTCGGTCAAAAGTTTTCTGAATCAAAGCGACAATCAGGGGTTTATCAGAAGGTCGGGAGTAAACATCCGCTCTGAGAGGCAGCTGCTGGCTGTGGACTCTCAGCGCAGCAGCCGGAGGGACGACACACTCTCACCTCAGGCACTAAACACACAGATCAGCGTTTACCGGAGGCCACGAGCAGACTTCCCAGGTGTGTGTCCGTGGCTCGGCTCGGTCTGATTGGCCGGATAGACTGCGATGTGAAGGCTCTCTGCATAGAAACCCAATACCTGCCCGCCATTTCCCCGCTTTTTTTTATATTATCGTCACACAGCGATTGCGGTTTCCTTTGTAAAAATGGTACTTCCTTGTTAAGTAACTCTTTTTTCCTCCTGATGAATGAACAGAATTAGTGTGTGTAGATAGTCTGTACAGGGAAGCACCCGCTCTCCAGCTGTAGCATACTTTTAGTGTTTGATTATCGGATCGTTTGACTGTTGGATTTTTGTCTCTTAAATTAGCTGTGTATCATTTTTAAAAAAAAAATCGTTTTTAAAATCTGTTGACTTTCCGTTTTGCTGCTGCACTGACGACATTTCCCCAGCGCTCCTGCGGCGTGTCGGTGCCCTCTGCCGCCGTCAAAAGCCAGTTTTGTGAGACTCATTTCTAAGATTTTCTAAAAACCGCAAAAAAACAAAACAAACAAACTCCAGAGACGGATGAACTCGCTTCTCACTTCAGGCCTCTTCATGTGTTCGCTCCCGTGGCCCCCAGTAGGCTTCAAACACACAAACACGCACGCACACACGCACACACACACGCACACACACGCACACACACGCACTCGCAGCGGGGCGGTCCGTCGGTAAGCAGCTCGCCT